GGCTATTCCATGCATCCACTACCCTCTCAGTAAAGTAATACTTCCTGATATTATTTTTAAACCTTTGTCCCTCTAATTTAAGACTATGTCCTCTTGTTGTGGTAGTTTTTCTTCTTTTAAATATAGTCTCCTCCTTTACTGTGTTGATTCCCTTTATATATTTAAATGTTTCTGTCATATCCCCCCTGTCTCGTCTTTCCTCCAAGCTATTCATGTTAAGATCCTTTAACCTTTCCTGGTAAATTGTATCCCGCAATCCATGAACCAGTTTAGTAGCCCTTCTCTGAATCCTCTCAAAGGTATCAATATCCTTCTGAAGATACGGTCTCCAGTACTGTGTACAATACTCCAAGTGAGGTCTCACCAGTGTTCTGTACAATGGCATGAGCACTTTCCTCTTTCTACTGCTAATACCTCTCCCTATACAACCAAGCATTCTGCTAGCATTTCCTACTGCTCTATTACATTGTCTGCCTACCTTTAAGTCATCAGAAATAATCACCCCTAAATCCCTTTCCTCATATGTTGAGGTTAGGACTCAATCAAATATTCTGTACTCTGCCCTTGGGTTTTTACGTTCAATATGCATTATCTTGCACTTATCCACATTAAATGTCAGTTGCCACAATTCTGAACATTTTTCTAGTTTACCTAAATCATTTGCCATTTGGCTTATCCCTCCTGGAACATCAACCCTGTTACATATCTTAGTATCATCAGCAAAAAGACATACCTTACCATCAAGACCTTCTGCAATATCACTAATAAAAATATTAAAGAGAATGGGTCCAAGTACAGATCCCTGAGGTACCCCACTGGTGACAAGTCCAAGCTTTGAATATATTCCATTAACTACAACCCTCTGTTGCCTGTCACTCAGCCACTGCATTACCCATTCAACAATATTGGAATCCAAACTTAAAGATTGCAGTTTATTGATAAGCCTGACACTTGACATCCTCACACTCTGCATTAAGATGTCCAGCGTCAAGCAAAACCTCATAGGGCCCAATGCGATTGTGGTGTTCACTGCGCAAGCGCCTTAGTGCCCCTCTGTTGGGCGATGTCCAGGTCTCTATTGGTTGAAATGTTGCTCTGTCACCAATAATTCTGCCTGTGGCTTGAACACTGTGAGTGCCTGGGAATTGTCCTTTCTTTTCTACTGTTATATCATTGATATTGGGTGCAGTTCCTTCTGACTTTGATGACTAAACAGTGAGCTAACATGGAGGAAGATAAAAGAAAACAATTTAAGATATAAACCCAGAAAATGGTCATCAATCACTAATCACTACATAATTAGCTACCAATTCACAGTGATAGACTTGTGTAATATAAATTGTTCCCTAAAAAAAGGACTATGAAAAATGTTGAATTTATGTGCCTTTGTGTTTACTTTACTTTCTCTTTATAAGCAATGAATATTTTAAAATTTGAGTCTTAACTGTCCAATAATTTTTTTTATTTTTATTTTTAGATGAGGAAATTGCCAAGTTAGATATTTCCTTGAACAATTTACTTAAAGACCTGCAAACGGAACAAATGAGGGATTATATCTGTATCTGCTTTCTATTTCCTCTCTGTGTTTTGACAGAGTCAGGGAGTTAACCTATGGCTTGTTAATTTAATCAAGTTGAATGGAGAAAATCTGAGTGTTCCAAGAAAATTAAATACTAAACATAATAAGCAAGGATTAATGCACAGGCTGTCACCTTAATGTGCACCTGAGCAGAAGCTCTTTATATTACTGTTTGCTGTGTGGGTTTTGTTCCACATCTGACATTCTGCATAGACTTTAATGGGAGCATTTAAGTCTAAGGGGGAGGGGGACGAATGTTAATTTTTTTTTTTTTTTTTACATTTTCTCATTACATTAGAAACACATTTTTTCCTAAATCACTTGGTAAGTAAGGGGTTAAGCACTTTGTGCCAACAATCATGCACAAGGGAGGCAGCGCCATGGTTTGGGTATGATAACCTGTACATTGACCAGGAAAACTTCTGATAATGGAAGTAACAATGTTGTAGAATTTTGCGGGATTACATCAGGACAAGCAACATGGCAATAATCTACAAACCTACATTAGCAGATCTTGAATTTTGAGAAATGTTTTTTTTTTTTTTTACAACCTAAATCCCATTGATGTGGTTAGGAAAGTTGGAATAGCAGTTTGTGCATCACTTAAGGTAAAGCTGTTCTGTGTGGAGCAGCAAGACAATATTCCTCTACAGTGCTGCAAGAAACCTCACCATATTTGATGGCAAAAAAATAGGCAATCATGTATTTCTAAAGCTAGAGTGTTATACTAAGACTTTACATTCAGGGTGCTCTTAATTAAACTAAATAGATTTTAGTCACTTCATTTCCCCTGGCACACTGATCTCTCTGTAACCTCCACTCCTCCATTGTTACGATTTCAGCCATTCCAAAGCTTCCCTGTAGTGAAGCATTAGAAGGCTATTGCGCATGCATGACAATCGAAGCACTGCAATTCCTCATAAAGATGCATTGACATAAAGTCCATCTCTATGGGTAGCACTCAACGTTTCCAGGCAGACTGTGGGGACATCAAATGTCAGTCCTGCAGTATTTGCAGGACTGCAACATGGAAGTCCCTCTAGTGTTTGTCCAAGTTACAGCTATTTAACATTGAAGAGAGGCAGCAGTGTAAACACTTACTCAGAAAAGGCAGCCATTACACTGCTCATTCTGTTTTCCCAAGAACCACTGCATTAAGCTGTAGTGGTCCTGTTGCCTAGTGTGTCCCTTTAAATCTCTAGTGTTCGGAATAATCATTATATTTCCACTTGCGAACCTGTCTGTTTGCAGGAGCCACTTCTCCTCTGGTTGAGATCATCATTACTGATTATCTCAGCCAATCAAATGGCTCTTCATAGTGAAGCATTAGGAGGCAAGTGTGCAAACCCACCTTAACCCCTTAAGGACCAAACTTCTGGAATAAAAGGGAATCTTGACATGTCATGTGTCCTTAAGGGGTTAATAAACTTAATACGTTGTGTAATTTGTTCTGCCCCTTTGTACTAGAATGTAATTACTTTACCCACCATTGCGACATGTTAAAATAGCTAAACTGGCTGTCGCTGGAATTCCAACGCACTCTTCATCTTTCCAGCCTTGTGCATAAGAGCATTTCTGGGAAGCTCCCACCCTACCTGAGTAGAATGCAGTCCCCAGCTGTTCCCACCTCCTATAACCTCTGATCCAGTACTAGCATGGTATTTAGCATACCGCAATACAAAAATAAAGTGGCTCGATGCAACTTTTCCTACAGAGCATCGCAATTATAGAATAACCTCAGGGACACAGTCAAAACTTCATGCAATCTAAAATCTTTTAAGAGATCTATGGCAATATACCTCAGCACAGAATGCACCTGTCATGGTTGAATATATTTATTACCTGTTATGTATTAAATTTATATACGTGGAATACGGAGATTCCATCTAAAGACGATTTTAAAGCTCAATTGGTTTATGAACTTGATATGGAAAAGGGGCGGATTCTTATGAATACCTTAAAGGAACACCGTAGGAACTGTATCTGCTTCATCTCATTAAACTGGTTATAGTGTCTGGAGTCCTCTGGTACCATCATTTCATTCAGCATTAAACAGTCTTTAATGTTTTAATGCTAAACAAGAGTCCCAGGCAGTCCATCCCCTCTGTGCTGCTTTGTCTAATAAGGAAGTATTAGCCTGAGCAGCAATAGGTACCTGTGATTGGCTGAGAGTGTCAGCTGACTGCTTTTAGCCTGTCAGAGTTCCAACTGACGGTATGAGTGGGTATGACAACAAGGAAGTGTGTAATCTCTACCTTAGCTACACATACTGAAGGGGCTGGACTGAGGGAGGCCAGGGACTCTTATTTTGTGGCATACTGCACGAATATGGTGCAACACTGAATGGAGGGACAGTGCCAGGGCATTCCAGGCACTATAACCAATTCAAAGAGATGAAATGCTTATAGTGACTACAGTGTCCCTTTAATCAAAGACTTTTGGTCTTATATCCAAACCTCATTGAGACGTTTAAGGTGTTCTAAAGTACTGGCTAAGAGTGATCTGTACAAAGAACAGCCTAGAAGCCATCGGTTTCTAGGTTCACGGGTAGATATCTAGGCTCTTTCACCATATAATCTCTCTTAGCGTTTTTTTTTTTTTTTTTACATTACAGGGCCTAAGCTTTTAAGACTGCTGCATTATTGATGGTCATGGTCTTTTCATCAGTTATGGGCCATTTGGTAAAATAGAATATGGGTGATAAGGTTTACTTTAGGCCAAGGGTTTTGAACAAGAGTCTGTTGATCTGTTGTATTATTACAGAATTGTATGACCAGTTGTGTTGATATCGAATGTATTTTCTTTGTGGGTTGGGGTTCTTGTTTTGTCTGTCTTTTCTGTGGTTATGTAGCTCTCTTCTGATTAGTCAATGAAGCCTTATGGTTTCAGATTACTTTTTTTATTGTGAACATTTACCTGTAATGTTACTTACCATTGTGTGTTATATCTGGGAGCGGTAGTTCTATGTTTGAACCACTTCCGGTTGTGTTTCTATATCTTTATAAAAAATAATAAAAAGTATTTAAAAAAAAATAAAATAAATTTATATATGTGTGTGTGTGTGTGTGTGTGTGTGTGTGTATATATATATATATATATATATATATATATATATATATATATATGTAATATAGTTTGTATATTGTTTTTTGTAACATTGAATCCTGTTGTAACAATGCAATGTTTTGTGGACAAAAACCCAGGACATACTTGAAAACGAGAGAGAAATCTCAATGTATCGATCCTGGTAAAATCTTTTATGAATAAATAAATTTAGCATCTCCTTATAACCATGTATTGATTCAGTACATTTATATGGATACCATTCAGCATTTCCATGTGATTGTGGCAGGATGAATGAACGAGTGACAGTGTAAGGAGGCTGAGTGTGTGTACGGGAAGTGACCGTAAGGAGGCTGTGTTAAAGATATTTTTTATTTTTTACTACTGCACAAATACATGTTCGTTAAATATACCAAATATGTACACATAATATAAAAAAATTTGAGAATTTGACATTTCCCATTTAACAATCAGAATTAATGTTGACCCCTCTGTACACAAGCAAAGATTTGATTTAAAACGAACCTGTCGCGTCAGGATCACTTTCACAGAAATCTCCACCATTGACTATAAGTATATCATTCATCATAGAGATGATATAGATAGCGAATCAGCATCATCTTACTTTACCCTTACATAGTGTACATAAAATATTTTCCATTTTAATAACTGTCTATCCTATAATGGTCATATCTAACATCCTATATAACATGTTTACAATGTTGTTTTTATATTTATTTATGATATTTACTTGGTGGTCGCATGAATATTTTTGCCCACTGACAAAAAAAATTACCAGTCTATAATTTTAATGGTAGGTGTATTTTAACAGTGAGAGAGAGAATAACAACAAAAATCCTGAAAAAAGCATGTCAAAAAATTTATAAATTGATTTGCATGTCAATGAGTGAAATAAGTATTTGATCCCCTATTAATCAGCAAGATTTCTGGCTCCCAGGTGTCTTTTATACAGGTAACAAGCTGAGATTAGGAGCACTCTCTTAAAGGAAGTGCTCCTATTTTCAGCTTGTTGCCTGTATAAAAGAAACCTCTCCACAGAAGCAATCAGTCAATCAGATTCCAAAGTCTCCACCACGGCCAAGACCAAAGAGCTGTCCAAGGATGTCAGGGACAAGATCGTACACCTACACAATGCTGGAATTGGCTAAAAGACCATTGCCAAACAGCTTGGTGAGAAGGTGACAACCGTTGGTGTGATTATTCGCAAATGGAAGAAACACAAAATAACTGTCTCCCTCCCTCGGTCTGGTGCTCCATGCAAGATCTCACCTTGTGGAGTTTCAATGATCATGAGAATGGTGAGGAATCAGCTCAGAACTACATGTTGGGATCTTGTTAATGATCTCAAGGCAGCTGGGACCATAGTCACCAAGAAAACAATTGGTAACACACTAAGCCGTGAAGGACCAAAATCCAAGAGAGCACATGTACAGGCCAGTCTGAAGTTTGCCAATGAACATCTGAATGATTCAGATGAGAACTAGGTGAAAGTGTTTTGGTCAGATGAGACCAAAATCGAGCTCTTTGGCATCAACTCAACTCGCTAGGAGAAGAAGGAATGCTGTCTATAACCCAAAGAATACCATCCCCGCCGTCTAACATGGAGGTGGAAACATTATGCTTTGGGGGTGTTTTTCTGCTAAGGGGACAGGACAACTGCACCGCATCAAAGGAACGATGAACAGGCCATGTAATGTCAAATCTTGGGTGAGATGCTCCTTCCCTCAGCCAGGGCATTGAAAATGGGTCGTGGATGGGTATTCCAGCATGACAATGACCCAAAACACACAGCCAAGGCAACAAAGGAGTGGCTCAAGAATTAGCACATTGAGGTCCTGGAGTGGCCTAGCCAGTCTCCAGACCTTAATCCCATAGAAAATCTGTGGAGAGGGCTGAAGGTTCGAGTTGCCAAACGTCAGCCTCGAAACCTTAACTTGGAGAGGATCTGCAAAGAGGAGTGGAACAAAATCCCTCCTGAGATGTGTGCAAACCTGGTGGCAAACATCTGACCTCTATGTTGCCACCAAGTACTAAGTCAAAGGGGTCAAATACTTATTTCATTTATTGACATTCAAAGCAATTTATAACTTTTTTGACATACGTTTTTCTGGATTTTTTTTTTTCTGATATTCTGTCTCACTGTTAAAATACACCCACCATTAAAATTATAGTCCTGATCATTTCTTTGTCAGTGGGCAAAAGTTCAAAATCAGCAGGGGATCAAATACTTTTTTCCCCCCTCACTGTATTTCACAAACAGTGTGCACTATATATCTATAAAATGAAATTACCTCTGTATTTAACCATTCATGAAATAAATGATTTTTATTTTTTGTTCTTTAATACTTGCACACATGTTCCAACCATGTATCATACAGTTCCACTATTACGTCTCACACCACCATCCAGTCCTTCCCTCATACAGCCCTTCTCACTCCGTCTATCGGAAAACGCCACCTCACCCTACCTCAATCCTGCTTAAACAAACCCATCATGTCCGTCAGGATTACTTAGCTGCGCAGCATTACCCAGGCTAGGTGGTATCAGATGCCCGAACATCTGAAGAGCCCTCTTGCTAACCTTCATACAAAAAGTAACACGTTAACAAGTAATTGAACAAATATTATTACATTCTGTTTTGTTAACCACCTAATGTGGTGTCATATAAATATATATATATATATATATATATATATATATATATATATATATATATATATATATATATATATATATATATATATATATATATATATATATGCAAGCTAGAAGATGTCTCATTATAGATATATTTGCATTTGTTAACTCACTTCCTTAAACAAGTGTGTGACTTGACTACCACTATTTAACAACTGCAATATTTGGACAAAATATTCTCCAATTGCTTGGCCACTTTTTGCCCGCATTTTGCAATTCATTGTTAAATTTACCAAACATCTTGGTTTACTAAATAAACCCTATTTTATTTATTTTTGTTAAGTCAAATAAATTTGTTAAATCAGAAGATCCGCACTGAAGATTCTTTTTCTAATATTTGCATACATTATACATTACATATTTTATCTCAGATTGATCAAAGAGGTATAATTTTCCATAGCTGTTTTCTTTGGTGATTACATGGTTTTAGAAGCAGAGTTGTGCCAGGATTCCTATTTATAGGCTCAATGCATTTGCCAGATGGAATGTGTTTCACCAATCCAGCCTGGAGTTTGGAAGAGAAAAGATTTTGAGTTGAGTTTGTTACTAGTTTACAGTGTAAAAGCAAAAAAAGGTTCCATTGGAAAATCCAGTACAAATGGCAAATAACAAAGCAAACAACCAATATGAGATGTGTGTGAAAGTGTAGGACAGTTCAAAATTAAAGGGACACCATAGTCACCAGAACAACTACAGCATAATGTAGTTTTTCTGATGAATATAGTCATTACCTGCAGGGATTTTCATGTGAATACTGCCCTTTCAGATTACAGCCTAGAAACACGTCCAGTTGCAGCCGCTCAGACCGGCTGAATGCATCTCTATGAGGAGATGTTGATTGGTTAGAGTGGCATTTCGCTCCGCCCCCAATCTGCCTCCTTGGCTGAGCTCATCTGATTTGACGATCTCAGCCAATCCAATGCTTTCCCATGTAAAAGCATTAGATTGGCTGAGATCATCAATTCTAATGATGTCAGCCAATGAGAAGGATCTGAAGCAGGAGGGAAGCACCGGCAGACCTCCGTGGCACTGGAATGAAGGTGAGTTTTAATCATTTTTATGTGTGGGGAGGCGGCAGGGGCCTAAATTGCATTTTAAACTCTCTAGGGTCAGGAATACGTTTGTATTCCTGATCCTCTAGTGTGTTTTTTTTTTTTTAACAATAGTTAGAACATAGCTAGATAGATCGATAGATAGATGCAGATATGTCCAGAGTAAGTGTTTTGGGTGCCATACAACCCTAACACACAAGATTTGTCAATCAGGGACATTTAGATTTTGAAGAGAGACACAAGACGTTGCCTACTTACAGCCATTATAAACTATTACCAGAAACAATACTTTCATTTTTATTACAGAAAAGTATCTTGTAAAATATTTGTTTCACATTTATAATTTTTTAAGTAATAGACTGAATATATTATGCTTTTGGTAAAGGTCAACATACGCTCTTTAACGTCACCTAAATGACAGGCACATTAGTCTGGATTTGAGTTGCTATAGAAACCAATTAAAATTTAAAAATTACTAACAGAAACATTCTTGTAATATAAAATCAGTTCTTGAATGCCACAGTGCTTATGTTTTCACAATTGCAAGTCAGTGTCCAACAAAAAAGTGGAAATGAAATTATAGTGTACAAGAGTTTTGTAAATTATAGGCCTTCTCTTCAAATATACTCTTAATGGACAGGGCTTCTGGTAACCTGTACAAATAAAATAAAAACGACACTTAAGGAAAAATCCTGAAAAAACTTAAAAGGATTGGTATGCTATAATTTCAAAACGGTGCATCTGTGTTTAAAATATAGGCAACACAGCCCACGTCAGGATTTTAAATCAGAGCAGTATCCACAACTTTGAAATACAAAACCTTGTAAAATATTTTTATTAGGTTCACAAAGTTTACATCAGAGGCTTTTTAAAGTCTGTAAATCTAAATTCTCAACATCTATAGCCACTTACTGAAACCTGCAGTACTAGAAAGCTGTCACGGTGTTGGGTGCTATATCAGTAAATATTGTGTAAAACAAGGCTTCACGAGAAGTTGTATCAGAACGAACGCAAACTAATCATTTTAATGTTTTTTCATACCTCACTAAAGTTCCATAACGGCTTTCTTGCAGGTTCCCCAAGGATAGTACAGTTTTCAATGATAATCCGTTCATGTCTAACGTCAAGGCAAAGAGACCTTGCAGATTTATATAGGATTTCTTTCAGGTTATACTCAAAAATCTGCAAAAGAATAAACACATTGATTGCTACATTGTATGAAAAGCACATCTCTCTCTCTCTCTCTCTCTCTCTCTCTCTCTCTCTCTCTCTCTCTCTCTTTCTCTCTCTCTCTTTATATATGTATAAATAAGGAAATTGGACTAAATATGATCATAATACCTGAGTAATTGTGTCCGCACAATTGGAAAGTTCAACAGGTTGTCCAGAAATCTCATGACTGAATTTATAGTCCATACAGAAGCCAGCATCTAGATTAAACATCTGTCAAAGTAAATAAATGTGGCAGTTAAAAGGGTACAATCCCCATATTCTTGAGAGTATTCACTACTCCGCCTCCGTGTCCCCCTTGGTTAGGGGTCATCAATCTATCCGTCCCCATAATCTGCAGGTAACTGTCACAACAACAGAGGTGCCATTCATGATAGCGCCCAAATTGCACGCACATAATTAAGACATAATACGGCGCCTCAGTGATCGACTGACCGATCTGTCTGATAATGATATCCATGTGTTTAACGCTTACTTTTATTTTTTCTTTCTTTTCAACCTTAATAGCCACTAACAGGGTACCTGCACCTGACAAGACATGTCTAACACAAATCTCACCCGCCAGCTCCATTCGTTACACACACATTATATAAAAGTAAAAAAGGCTTGCTTTTGCCAAATGCTATACATTGTTGCTATTGCAAATCTCTATATTGTTCTATCTGCATTCACTCTGAAACTTGTATGCTTATATTATTGCCTCAATAAAACAAAGATTGACCAAAAAAAGGGTACAATGATAACTAAGATAGCTGCATTTAAAGCGGAAATGTCACTTCTCAGTGTGACAGTCCTTCATTCTTTGAGCCTTGTAATTGCTACAGAAGTGCTTGCTAGGCAAGTAGTGCCCCGGTGAAAGTAAAAGGCACATTTACCTCTGCAGAACTTCTTTGTCTAGGGTGGCAACAGGTTTTAACCCTTCACATGTACACATAACAGTTTCAGAGAATCTGCTATGTTTACATTTGGGGTTAATCCAGCCTCTAGTGGCTGTCTTCCGGAATTTTGCCTCCATCGCACAGAGCGTTCATAGGAAGGCATTGAGAAATGCTTTCCTATGGATACTTTGAATGCGCATGTGCGGCACTTGCCACGCATGCGCATTAGGCTCCAGTGACGTCGGACAGGGGAGCTGACGTCAGACGGGAAGGAGAGGTCACCAGCGCCGGTTTAACCCCTTCAGCGCCATTGGAGGGGGGCCCTGAGGGTGGGTGCACCCTCAGGGCACTATAGTGTCAGGAAAACCGCTTTGTTTTCCTGACACTGTAGTGATCCTTTAATTAAAAGAAAACACCAAGAAATCTATATATTTAAATTCTTTATTTTTTCAAATATACAATCTATAGCTACATTTTATGGAAAGATATATCTTTCTTTTTTGTCATGTTGATTAGACCTGTATGCCAAAAGTGGACAACATTAGATAGATAGACAGAAGACAGACAGACAGACAGATAGAATAGATACAGATAAATAGACAAACTTTCCTACAGATTTGCTAATTAAAAAATACTGTTGTGTATCCACAATTAGAACCTTTGGGAAACGTCAGTTTTGGGCACAGAAATCATGTTTTTGCAGTTCTCCTAGAATCCCTATCTTGAAATGTAAATTAACACAGACAGGTGTCAAGTTTCAGACCTCATCTTAGCAATGGAACATTGTTTTAACCATAGTTATTTAAACCTTCTTGGAATTACTGTGCTCATGGCAAACTTTTCCAAGGTCCTGCTTGAGGGCTGCGATATGTAGCTATGTAGATGATATGATGATATAGAGATATGTAGATGATACACAACAGTAATTTTTGAATATATATGAACATACACGGGGTTCAATTTAAAGTCCTATATCACTAGCCAAAGTTAAGTTACTCGCCACTGCAAGGCAAGCCCGAAGGGTCAATGGGACACTTATTAGGAGTGAATGTCTACTTGCCAGGCCTGTGTTTTACCTCTCCAATGTCTTTCTTTCTATATATAAATATTTTTTAACTAAAGCAGGGATAGTCAAACTTTGGCACTCCAGATATTGTGGACTATATTATACTATATTATACAACATACGGATATTATCGATCTCCCCTCATGCTTTGCCAGCATTATGGTTTGAAGAGCATTATGGGAGATGTAATCCTCAACATCTGAAGTGCCGAAAGTTGTTTAACCCTGCACTTTGTGAAGTTCAAGTTTAAGGTCAAAATAGTTGAACTGGAAAAGTTCTCCAGGTCAGCTATGATTTCAGTTCAGCTATTCTGGCCTTAAATATGAAATACAATTTAAATGCTCACTTTAATAGTGTGACGTTAGTCACCATCACCAGGGGTTACAGACTAACACTTTATGTAGGACCCTGGACTACTCCTATGTCTAAGTCACCCTGTGCTCATTATAGGTGCAGGTTTTGTATTATGTGTTTGTTTATTGTTAATTGTTTTGTGTGCTCTCCTGTCCTGCTAATGCTTGCTACCAACTAGGTGGATATGGCTATGAAGCCTGTATAGCACCCTCTGTTGGTAGCAACAGCTGTATGCACCAACTGAATAGCAAAGTTTGCATATTTGCATATTCAGGTAGATTTGCATATTTCAAGTTCTGCAGATAGGATAGAGATTTTATACTCACCCCTTTATAAATACAGGGAGTGCAGAATTATTAGGCAAGTTGTATTTTTGAGGATTAATTTTATTATTGAACAACAACCATGTTCTCAATGAACCCAAAAAACTCATGAATATCAAAGCTGAATATTTTTGGAAGTAGTTTTTAGTTTGTTTTTAGTTTTAGCTATGTTAGGGGGATATCTGTGTGTGCAGGTGACTATTACTGTGCATAATTATTAGGCAACTTAACAAAAAACAAATATATACCCATTTCAATTATTTATTATTACCAGTGAAACCAATATAACATCTCAACATTCACAAATATACATTTCTGACATTCAAAAACAAAACAAAAACAAATCAGTGACCAATATAGCCACCTTTCTTTGCAAGGACACTCAAAAGCCTGCCATCCATGGATTCTGTCAGTGTTTTGATCTGTTCACCATCAACATTGCGTGCAGCAGCAACCACAGCCTCCCAGACACTGTTCAGAGAGGTGTACTGTTTTCCCTCCTTGTAAATCTCACATTTGATGATGGACCACAGGTTCTCAATGGGGTTCAGATCAGGTGAACAAGGAGGCCATGTCATTAGATTTCTTCTTTTATACCCTTTCTTGCCAGCCACGCTGTGGAGTACTTGGACGCGTGTGATGGAGCATTGTCCTGCATGAAAATCATGTTTCTTGAAGGATGCAGACTTCTTCCTGTACCACTGCTTGAAGAAGGTGTCTTCCAGGAACTGGCAGTAGGACTGGGAGTTGAGCTTGACTCCATCCTCAACCCGAAAGGCCCCACAAGCTCATCTTTGATGATACCAGCCCAAACCAGTACTCCACCTCCACCTTGCTGGCGTCTGAGTCGGACTGGAGCACTCTGCCCTTTACCAATCCAGCCACGGGCCCATCCATCTGGCCCATCAAGACTCACTCTCATTTCATCAGTCCATAAAACCTTAGAAAAATCAGTCTTGAGATATTTCTTGGCCCAGTCTTGACGTTTCAGCTTGTGTGTCTTGTTCAGTGGTGGTCGTCTTTCAGCCTTTCTTACCTTGGCCATGTCTCTGAGTATTGCACACCTTGTGCTTTTGGGCACTCCAGTGATGTTGCAGCTCTGAAATATGGACAAACTGGTGGCAAGTGGCATCGTGGCAGCTGCACGCTTGACTTTTCTCAGTTCATGGGCAGTTATTTTGCGCCTTGGTTTTTCCACACGCTTCTTGCGACCCTGTTGACTATTTTGAATGAAACGCTTGATTGTTCGATGATCACGCTTCAGAAGCTTTGCAATTTTAAGAGTGCTGCATCCCTCTGCAAGATATCTCACTATTTTTGACTTTTCTGAGCCTGTCAAGTCCTTCTTTTGACCCATTTTGCCAAAGGAAAGGAAGTTGCCTAATAATTATGCACACCTGATATAGGGTGTTGATGTCATTAGACCACACCCCTTCTCATTACAGAGATGCACATCACCTAATATGCTTAATTGGTTGTAGGCTTTCGAGCCTATACAGCTTGGAGTAAGACAACATGCATAAAGATGATGATGTGGTCAAAATACTCATTTGCCTAATAATTCTGCACTCCCTGTATGTCATTATATTATTTTAAGTTCCTGTATGTTGTCTGGTATGATTTGGTTATTTGTATTTTATTGAAGTTGTCACAGCAATCTAAATGTTATGAACATATGGGCTAGTCCCAAGTAAACATAAAGTTGAGAATGCTAGGTACTTTTTTTTTTTTTGTATGTCCTGTGTGAATTTTTTAGGGATTCCATTAACAGAGTCTTTGGATATGTTGGCTGGCTGCACGATCCCTCTAGCCTGAGGGCAAATAAAAAAGAGAGCCAGACATGAGAGCCACAAAAGTCCTTAAAAAGATATGAGCAATCACAGTGCAGGCAGAGGCATCCAATGCCTTCTAGGCATTGCATACCTGCCTGGAAGGAAAGTTGCAGAGGAGACGATACATGCCTGCAGGGCTGCCATCAGAAATTTTGGGGCCCCTGACACAGCTCAAGGTCTGGGCCCCCCCGGTGCCTGCACCCGAGTCTGCCCAAAGTGCTGCCCGAGTCTGCCCACAGGGATGCAGTGTCTGTACTGATTCTGGTGTGTATAGTGTATGTAGAATGTGTTTAGTGGATGCAGAGTTCGTGTGTTAAGTGGATGCGGTGTGTGTTTAACGGATGCTGTGTGTATAATGGATGCGGATTGTACATTTGTGTAATGTATGAGGTGTATATTAGATGCAGAGTGTGTGTTTGTGTAGTGGATGTAGTGTGTGTTTATAGTGAATGCAGAGTGTGTGTAGTGGATGTAGTGTTTAGTGAATACAGTGTGTGAATGCAGAGTGTGTCTTTGTGTAGTGGATGTAGTGTGTGTAGTGACTACAAAGTGTGTTTGTGTAGGTACTGCAGTGTGTGTTTGTGTTAGGAAGTAGTGTGTGTAGTGACTGCAGAGTGTGTGTTTGTGTAAGGATGTAGTGTGTGTAGTGACTGCAGAGTGTGTGTGTTTGTGTAGTGCCTCCAGAGTGTGTGTTTGTGTAAAGGTGTAGTGTGTGTAGTGACTGCAGAGTGTATGTTTGTGTAAGGATGTAGTTTGTGTAAATTTTAGTGAATATTGTGTGTATATGTTAGTGTATAGTTTGTGTAAATGTTAGTGTATAGTGTGTAAATGTTAGCGAATAGTGTGTGTAAATGTTAGCATATAGTGTGTGTAAATGTTTGCATATAGTGTGTGTAAATGTTAGTGTATAGTGTGTGTAAATGTTAGTGAATAGTGTATGTAAATGTTAGTGTATAGTGTGTGTGTAAATGTTAGTGAATAGTGTGTGTGTAAATGTTAGTGAATAGTGTGTGTGAATGTTAGTGAATAGTGTGTGTAAATGTTAATGAATAGTGTATGTAAATGTTAGTGTATAGTGTATGTAAATGTTAGTGTATTGTGTGTGTAAATGTTAGTGAATAGTGTGTGTAAATGTTAGTGTATAGTGTGTGTAAATGTATGGGGCTGCAAAATGTGGGGGGAAAAGCCTACACTTTTTTTTTTTCATCCATTAACTGTATTGTTTTATTCCCCCCTCCCTGTATCTCACCTGTGGCCATGGAGGGGGGAGATCACATTGGCTGGAGCCCTGGAGCTGGAGGTCCTGAGGAATGGTGCAGCCCCCGCTACTTGTATTTTGCAGGGGGCCCAGCACACTTGAAATATACTACCCAGATGCTCTGCTCTGTCGAAGACTCGCGAGCCATGCGGGGCGTTGCAATGGCAACGCTCTGACGATCGCGTCGCTCGCGAGACTTAGACAGAGTAGAGCATCTGGGCAGTATATTTCAAGTGTGCTGGGCCCCCTGCGGAATACAGGTAGCGGGGGGCCCGCAGTGCACACACATATAGCGTTAATCGTTATATATGTGTGCACATAGCTAATGTGGGCAGTGGCGTACACACAACCCATGGGGCCCCGGTGTGAAAACTGATCCATGGGGCCCCCCCCGCGTGCGCTTACTCTGCGCGGGCTTGGGTCGCAACACATGGCAGCGGGCACCTGGTCGCAGGGCTGTGACCCCTGCGACTGCGGTATGTACGCCAATGCATGCAGATACACTTAAAGGACCACTACAGACATCCAGATCACATCAGCTCAATTAAGTGGTCTGGGTGCCAGGTCTCTCTAGTTTTAACCCTGCAGCTGAAAACATAGCAGTTTCAGAGAAAATCACAGTGAGAAGACACTGAACGTCCATAGGAAAGCATTGAGTAATGCTTTCCTATGGGCGGTTTGAATGTGCGCACGGCTCTTGCCACGCATGCGCACTCAGAGGTGAGAGGCGGATCAGGGCGGAGAGATCCCCAGCGCCAATTGAGTCCGGCGCTGGAGAATGGTAAGTGCTTAAGACACACACACACACACTCTCACGAACAGACGCATACACACTAGCTAACAGACACACATTTACTGACAGACACACACTCAATGACAGACATACACACACTCACTAACAGACGCACACAAACTAACACACTCAGTAACAGACACACACAGTAATACACTCACTGACACACTCTAACACACACACACTAACACACACACTCTAACACACTCTAACACACGCCGGAATATGACGTCATCTTCTGGCTCCTGCATCAGTGCGGTGCATGAGGGAGCTGAAGAGGAAGCACTCAGGGGAGAGTGCTCCCTCGTGCACCCGCGCACCTGCCCGCCAGGTGACACCAGGCCCAGCCTCAGGGGGGCCCTGAGGTGACCGGCTGCTGGGCCCCCCAGGAGAAGAGGCTGGCCACACTGGGTCCATACCGGGTCTCAGGGCCCCCCAGGACCGCTGGGCCCATGACAACCGTTATGGTTGTCATGCCCTGATGGCGGCCCTGCCTGCCTGGAAGAAGGACTGCAGAGGAATAGGCAGAGGGGATGATACCTGTCTGGAAGAAGGACTGCAGATGAATAGGAAGAGGGGATGATACCTGCCTGGAAGAAGGACTGCAGAGGAATAGGCAGAGGGGACGATGCCTGCCTGGAAGAAGGACTGCAGAGGAATAGGCAGAGGGGATGATACCTGCCTGGAAGAAGGACTGCAGAGGACTAGGCAGAGGGGACGATACCTGCCTGGAAGAAGGACTGCAGAGGAATAGGGAGAGGGGACGATACCTGGCTGGAAGAAGGACTGCAGAGGTGACGATACCTGCCTGGAAGGAAAGAGCTCCAGAGAGACCCTAGTCAGACTTTGGTGACTGGGGCTGCCGGGTTCCTGGAAGCAGCTGGGAAGTGGACTGGGCAGAGGTGTTCAGTTCAAGTACGGGAACTCCGCCACAAATAAATAGATGGATACTGCTCAAGTTATTCCAAACATGCAAATTAAATGTAAACTCCTTCCACTAATTAGAAATTGTGACAGTACAGTATCAGGTGACAAAAGCCATTATTACTATTGTGGACTGTAAATCAAATAAGCACAAAATACCTATGAAGTATGTGTGTGTGTATATATATATATCTATGTAAGCAAATAAGAAAAACGGGATGCACTCACAGGTCTTCATCAAAGTGAAAAAATGCGCTTTATTAATCCATTAGGTGTATACAAAAATCGACCGACGTTTCGAGCCTGACGGGTCTTTTTTTCTTGATGATCATTTAGCTTATGTCATCCACATATTTACTGTGATTTTTACGAAAACCTTTACCTACCATAAAAATAGCTGGCATTTCCTAATTTTTAATTTTTCGACAATCTTTTTTTTATTTTATTTTTTATTTTAAGAATAGAAATACACAGTTAGAAAATGAAGTGATTTTTCAGTTTACATTTTTCATTTTTTACATCATCACACCACACTTCCACAAAATATAAAGAGCAAATCTACAAAAATATATTTTTACATTTGTTTTTTGCTGCCAACTAAAAAATGTTCTCACTGCAATAGCATTGTTTTAAATTTCAGTAATGCCAAGTGCCACCTTGTGGTCAATGATATCACTGCTGTGTAGTAAACTGCTGATTGTATAGAAGTGCCAACACGGCAATTAAACCTGAATACTGAGTCTTAAGTTTAGAAAAAACAACTCATACAGTTGTCCGAACTAATTAACAATTTTTGTTTTAAAAGAAGAACACAACAACAGAGAGTTCAATGATACAAATAATGATATGAATAGATAAAATTAAGCTTATATTTATTAGTATCTCCAACAAATGCAATACATACACACAGACTGCTGAACACATTCACACACCGACTGCTAAATACACACACACACACACACTGACTGCTAAATACACACACAGTCCGCTGAAGACACACACACAGTCCGCTGAATACACAGACTGCTGAATACACATACAGACAGACTGCTGAATACATACACAGACTGCTGAATACATACACACAGTCTGCTGAATACATACACTGCTGAATATACACACACACAGACTGCTGAATACACACACACAGACTGCTAAATACATACACACCCAGACTGCTAATACATACACACACACACACACAGACTGCTGAATACACTCACACAGTCTGCTGAATACACACACTAGTGAGTACACACAGACTGCTGAATACATACACACACAGACTGCTGAATATATACACATACAGACTGCTGAATACATACAGACTGCTGAATACACACACACACATACTGCATTGAGGGGTGCAGTGTATGTGTTTGTGTGTGAGGGGTGCTGTGTGTATTTGAGGGGTGCTGTGTGTGGGGGGTAGGGATGCTGTGTGTGGGGGTTAGGGGTGCTGTGTGTGGGAGGGTTAGGGATGCTGTGTGTGTGAGGGGGTAGGGGAGCTGTGTGGGGGGAGTGTAGGGGTAATGTGTGTGGGAGGGTATGGGTACTGTGTGGTGGGGGTGGCGGTAAAGATACATAAAAAAAGATATATTAAATCTTTATTCCCCCCCCCCCTCCCTACTTCTTACCTTTGGTGAAGGAGGGGGGAAACAGCCAGCCCTGGTGGTCTGGTGGTGGTAAGTATATGTCTGCAAAGCAGCTCTCCTGTCCTCCGGTGCGATGCTGTATGGAGCGTTGCCATGGTAACTCGCGGCAACGCTCCAGACAGATTGCTCGCGTGAGGACAGGAGAGCTGCTTCCTAGGTCCCTCCCACTGCTTCTGTGTCCTCCCGACAGAAAGCAGAGTAGGCACCTACCGTTTTGGGCAGGTAGGTGCCTACTCTGCATTGCTGCAGACAGACAGCGGCCCCCTCCCCCCGCGACCTATGGCCGTGTGCCCACAGAGAGGGCCCGGCGTACCACCTGTGGCATGCATGCCATAGTTTTGCCATCACTGGTATAGAAGGATGACATGATTTAAAGAGGGCTGTAAAATAGCAGATATTACTGAACGCATAATAATAGCAATTTCCTAACATTTGTTACAGGAAAACTATAAATACATTGAAAAGCTAAATGCTTAATAAGCTGAGACTATTTAAAAGAACACTTCAAGCAGGAGTGCCCTGGCACCCTACCAGAATATGTAATCAAACCATTTAAGAATGGTTTAATAACTTAGCTGAGTCCCGCTGGGCACGTGTTGCCACCTCCCTTGCTGCAGGAAGCTCCTGCAAGGAGCTTACATTAGCTCTACTGAGTTATACACTGTAGTTCAGGGCTGATTCAGTGGCTGAGAGCATTGGCTGATTCAGCCTTAAATGGTTTAATTATTTACTCTGGGAGGGAACTCCTAGCATCATAACCACAACAGCGAAGGTTTTATGATTTTTGAAGAAACAACATAACCGACTAGTACCTCCTAGAGCAGTGATGGCGAACCTATGGCACGCGTGCCACAGGTGGCACGCCGGGCCCTTTCTGTGGGCACGCGGCCACAGGTTCGCCATCACTGCAGAGTAGGCGCCTGCCTGCCCAAAACGGCAGGCGCCTACTCTGCTTCCGGGTCGGGAGGCAGGGGGAGGGCTCTAGGAAGCAGCTCCCCTGTCCTCCCGCGCGATGCTGTGTGGAGCGTTGCCGCACGTTACCATGGCAACGCTTCACACAGCATTGCGCGGGAGGACAGGGGAGCTGCTTCCTGGAGCCCTCCCCCTGCAGTTCTTACCACCACCGGACCACCAGGGATCGCTGTATACTGACACAGCACCCTTACCCCCCCAGAAGTACCCCTACCCTCCCCAGCAGTAACCCCTAACCCCCCAGCAGTAACCCCTACCCTGCCCAGCAGTACCCCTAACCCTCCAGCAGTACCCTTAACCCTCCCCAGCAGTAACCCCTCCCCCCATACACAGTGCCCCCTAACCCCCAGCAGTACCCCTACCCCCATACACAGTAACCCCCACCCTCCCCAGCAGTACCCCCCCAGCAGTACCCCTACCCCCACAGTACCCCTACCCCCCCAGCAGTAACCCCTACCCTCCCCAGCAGTAACCCCTCCCTCCCAGCAGTACCCCTCCCCCAGCAGTACCCCTAACCCCCAGCAGTACCCCTAACCCCCCAGCAGTAACCCCCCACCTCCCAGTAACCCCACCCTCCCCCAACAGTACCCCCCCCCCAGCACAGCCCCTAACCCCCAGCAGTTCCACCCCCAGCAGTAACCCCACCTCCCCAGCACCCTAACCCCACACAGCACCCCCACCCCCAGCAGTAACCCCCTACCTCCCCAAAGTAACCCTACCCTCCCCAGCAGTACCCCCACCCCCATACACAGTACCCCTACCCTCCCCAGCAGTAACCCCTACCCCCCAGCAGTACCCCTAACCCCCAGCAGTACCCCAACCCCCAGCAGTACCCCAACCCCCAGCAGAAACCCCTACCCCTCCCCAGCAGTAACCCCCTACCCCCCCAGCAGTACCCCTAACCCCTCAGCAGTACCCCTACCCCCCACACACAGTACCCCTACCCCCCACACACAGTACCCCTACCCTCCCAGCAGTACCCCTACCCCCCACACACAGTACCCCTACCTCCCCGCAGCACCCTTACACATATAGCACACACACACACAGCACCCCCCCACACACACACAGCACCCCTCACATACAACACTCACACACACACGCACCCCCCACCTCAATGCAGTATGTGTGTATTCAGCAGTCTGTGTGTGTGTGCGTGTATTCAGCAGTCTGTGTGTGCGTGCGTGTATTCAGCAGTCTGTGTGTGTGTGCGTGTATTCAGCGGACTGTGTGTGTGTACTCAGCAGTCTGTGTGTGTGTGTGTATTCAGCAGTCTGTGTGTGTGTGTGTATTCAGCAGTCTGTGTGTGTGTACTCAGCAATCTGTGTGTGTGTGTACTCAGCAATCTGTGTGTGTGTGTGTACTCAGCAATCTGTGTGTGTGTGTACTCAGCAGTCTGTGTGTGTGTGTGTACTCAGCAGTCTGTGTGTGTGTGTATTCATCAGTCTCTGTATTCAACAGTCTTGTGTGTGTGTATTCAGCAGACTGTGTATGTATTGCATTTGTTGAAGATACTAATAAATATAAGCTTAAATTTATCTATTTATATCATTATTTAAAATTTGTATCATTGAACTCTCTGTGTTCTTTTAAAACAAAAGTTATTAGTTCGGACAACAGTACGAGTTGTTTTTTTCTAAACTTAAACCTCAGTATTTGGGTTTAATTGCCGTGTTGGCACTTTAAGGAGAAAAATGTTGGCATGTATTGCGGTTTGGGCACTCGGGCTCAAAAAGGTTCGCCATCACTGTCCTAGAGAATTTCACAATTCAGCTTCTTAACCAGGATAGCTTGCACTAAAATCAAGGTAAATGCTCATAATGAGCTTGTGACCTCACAAGCACTGTGTATGATGTTCACAGCTTTATTTACATGGTTGTGCAGTGCATGCAGGGGTGAGCTAAGAGGGGGGGGGGGGCCATGGGGTGAAAAACACCCCAGTGCTTCTGTTTTGATGGTGGATTTTCTCTCCATATCTCCTGTGGATTATCTTTATAGTAACCCACTCAACAGACTCATTAACAGAATGCCTGGGTATAGCCCACAATGGGTCTTTTGCCAGAAATTTAGTTACATCCAAATAGGGCACTATGTAAAGTCTTGCATCGAGGACCCTGTGCTCACTCATGCTTATATCAGGTGACACCGACTGTCTGAAACGTCTTGCAAAGCAGAATTATTGAATCTTGAAGAATAATTTTTCTCTTTTTTATTTCTTTCTGCATACTATTTAGTGAATTATTTACATCATGTTTTAAAACTGAAGGTCAATCGACAGCTGTCGCCTCAAAACTAGTTATTGTTGTTATTTATATAGTGTCAACATATTCTATAGCGCTTTACAATATATAATATTATATCAGGTCGAGATTTAATAATAAATTAGGCAATTAGAAAATGTAACAGGGGCTAGACTTGTTCAGTGTTTTATAGGTATGGATTAGTATTTTGAATTGACTCCTATAGGAAACCAGAGTAATATAATAATCCTTTTATCAAGTTTTAAAATGAAATGGAGAGGATCCTTCAGTCATATACATGCACCTTGGGTCAGACAGTGTTTGGATTCGACAGTTTTTCGGTCTGATAATGTCACTGTGCAGAGAGTGAAACATGGAAGACCATAGAGACTAACTGTCTGACCCAAGGTGTATGTATATGGCTGAAGGATCCTGTCATATACTAAAGGCAGGGATGAGTTTTTCTAATTTTGTTTACTTATACTTCATTTAACATATGATTTACTTCCTTTCAAAACTTGCTGAAAAGATATTTATATAAAAAAAATAGTTTTAAAGGGATACAATAGTGCCAGGAATACAAAGCTGTATTCCTTGGACTATAGCTCCCTCTGCCCCCACCCCCTCCTCCCTCGCGCCCCCCCTCCCCTCAGCGCTAGGTTGCGGCTCCGCCTCTTTCAATGTCCCTCGACGAGCGGGCTCTAATGCACATGCGCGACGAGTGCCCCACACGCATTAGGCCTCCCCGTAGGAAAGCTTTGAATCAATACCTTCCTGTGGGGAAATAGCTGACGCTGGATGCCCTCATGCAGAGCGTGAGGATGTCCAGCATCAGTTATAGGACCGAAAGTCCATTAACATCCAGACAGACACCGGAGGCAGACTTAACATTGCAGCACTAAGTGCAATAGGGACAGTGCATCCAGATCACTTCCTTCAATGAGCTGAAGTGTTCTGGGTGCCTATAGTGTCCCTTTTAAAGTGACAGTTGTCCTTTAACATATAATGTTTTAAACTGCAGATTTCAGGATGTTTGATCTAATGTAACAGCTTCTTAATCCAAGGAGAGGTCTGACTGACATTCTGGGGTCGGGAAGGATGTTTTTTCCTAGTTTGTTGCAAAATAGGAAAGGGCTTTAAATTGGGTTTTTTGCCTTTTTTGGATCAACAGTAAAAATAGATGTGAGAAAGGTTAAACTATATAACCATGTAAAGTGTCCCCCTGGACAGAATAGGGAAGGGGGAGCATGACTGCTGCCCAGGATAGTGGGATGGTACAATGGTAGCAACAATGTTGCAAAGATGGAAGGATTTATAAGGGGGTAGCAGGGGAGGAGACTTACCAGTCAGAAGGAGATTGTCATTACCCTGGTTGAATATGCTGGTACCGATACGACCAGCAGTTTCGGCAGAAGATGGCGGTTAGCGAGGGCATGGATTTTGGTGTACAGGATGGCAGCTTATGGCTGCTGTTGATGACGCCTTGCCGGCCCTCCCCCTTTCCAGGGACAGCCGGCGCGCTGGCTAGTGCGCCGGCGGGGCAGCGCAGGGGAGTCTGTTGGCTCTTTAATGAGTCCCACTGTAAGTGGTACAACTCATGCAGGTTCCGGCATGAGTGTTCGCACTGTGGCGGAGCACATCCCGCTCTACGCTGTTTCAAGAAAGGAAAGGCGGGGGTGCGCCCCAAGGATGACGTTCCTAGACAGGAGGACGCCGGTGAGCGTCGAAAGGATGCGCCCGTGGCTAGACCGGTATCCTAAACGGCGAGAAGCCGGTATTTTATTAGACGGGTTTTTATTTGGTTTTTGGATTCCGTTTGTTTTTTCTGAGGCGCAGTCGTTTGCGGTCAATTTACATTCGGTTTTGGGTAGGGAGGATATTCTTGAGCAAAAATTGTACAAGGAAGTGTCCTTGGACCGCATGGCGGGACCGTTTTCTGAGCCCCCATTTCCTAACCTGCGAGTGTCCCCCCTGGGCTTGGTCCCTAAGAAAGAGCCTGGGGTCTTCGTCTCATTCACCACCTGTCCTACCCATCAGGCGGGTCGGTGAATGATGATATTGATAAAGAAGTGTCCAGGGTGCGTTATGCTTCCTTTGACAGGACCCTGGAGTTAGTGAGAGACGCAGGGTCAGGGGCATTGCTTGCAAAATCGGACATCGAGTCGGCTTTTCGTTTGCTTCCGGTTCACCCGGACTGTTTCCATCTTCTGGGTTGTCAATTTAATGGTTTGTTTTATTATGATATGTGTTTGCTCATGGGGTGTGCCATATCCTGCTCCTATTTCGAGATGTTTGCGACATTCTTGGAATGGGTCGTGTCTCAGGTGTCGGGTTTGTCCTCGTTGACCCACTACCTGGATGATTTTTTGTTTGTCGGGTCTGGTGATTGCAACGACTGTGCGGTTTTGTTGTCGGCATTTCGGCAGATTACATCAGAATTTGGTGTCCCGGTGGCGATAGACAAGACGTTCGGACCGGTGGGTAAGTTGTCTTACTTGGGGATCGAGATTGACTCTTGTGAGATGGTCTTTCGATTACCAGAGGACAAGCTGGGTCAGTTACTCTGCCTTATTGACCGAGTCAAGGGCTCCAACAAAGTTCAGCTGCAGCTAATGCAATCGCTTTTGGGTCATCTGAACTTTGCTTGCCGTGTTTTGTCTATGGGCCGAGCGTTCTGTCGTCGCTTGTCCCTGGCTACAGTGGGGGTTAAACAGCCATTTCACTTTATCCGGATTACAAGTCGACTGCGGTCGGACTTACAGGTGTGGAGCGCCTTTTTAGGTACGTACAATGGTCATTCTTGTTGGTTGCGCTCGGAGGTGTCGAACGGTGAATTGGACCTGTTTACTGACGCATCGGGGTCCATAGGGTTTGGAGCCTATTTTCGGGGAAAGTGGTGCGCGGCGGAGTGGCCGTCCACCTGGCGAGGTTCGGAGCTGATGGGTAACCTGGCGTTTCTTGAATTGTTTCCCATTGTGGTTGCTGTAGAATTATGGGGTTCGGGCTTGGCGCACAGGAAGGTGATTGTTCACACGGACAACATGAGTGTGGTCCAGGTGATCAATCGTTCCACGTCTGGGTCCCCTCCGGTTTTGGCATTGCTCAGGCGTCTAGTGCTACTCTGTCTTCAATGTAATTTGTGGTTGGTAACTTGGCATGTTCCCGGGGTGGACAATGTCATTGCTGACTCTCTTTCTCGGTTTCAGTGGGACCGTTTTCAGGAGGCGGCTCCGGAGGCGGCGCCGACGGGAACCCCGTGTCCGCCTTACTTGTGGGACCTGGTTTTGGACATCTGAGGCGATTGATCCGAGGGTCCTTATCGGAGTCTTCGTGGAAGGCATACTCCGCGGTATGGGATCGCTGGTGGGCCATGGGTAGGAACGGGGATGTGGCGTCAGACTCCGGCAGATTGACCCTTACGCTGTCATTCCTGGAGTCTTTGTGTGCCGGAGGTAGGTCGTCTGCAGCAGCTGAGCAATCGCTGGCTGCTCTCTCTTTTTTATTTCATTTTTTAGGATGGTCGGATGTCACCAAGGCTTTCTGCGTTTCCCGTATTTTGAAAGGGTGGAAAAAGCGCCGCGTTCCTGACAAACGGCGACCGATCTCGGGGGACATGCTGTTCCAGCTGTTGGAAGTTCTTCCAGATGTGTGTAGCTCTGCGTATGAGGTACTTTTGTTTCGGGTGGCATTCTCCTTGTGCTTCTTTGGGGCGCTGCGTATCGGTGAGCTGGTTGCCCCCAGGTTGAGTTCAGTGTCACCCCTTAGGCTTTCCGACGTATCAGTGACACCAGACTGCGTTACGCTGTTGATTCGTCGGTCCAAGACGGATCAAGCGGGTACGGGAGCGAGAGTCCGTATAGGGCTCACTGGGGGTGTATTTTGTCCGGGGTACTTGGTGCGGGCATACTTGGGCGCCAGGGGCGGCGCTGAAGGCTCGCTGCTGGTCCATTCTAATGGGGCCTCCCTGAGCCGTTTTCAATTTGCGAGCCTCTTGCGGAGTTGTATTGTTAGATTGGGGGGGGACCCCAGGTTATACTCCACGGATTCATTTAGAATTGGAGCGGCAACACAGGCGAGCGAACTGGGTTTTCCGAAGGAGGAGCTTATGCGCCTGGGGCGCTGGGAGTCGGGGCGATTTCAGCTTTACGTGCGCCCTCATTTGCTGTGATGGTATGCCTCTGTACACAATTAAGTCTAACCGTTATTCCTTGTTTTGTAGGCCAAGTTCCTCGTTATGCAGCTGACCCGTGACGCTGATATTGCACACAGGCGGGAATGATGTTGGCCGACGGCGGTCGGTGGATCTCATTCACGACATGCGTCATGATCTAGCGCACTGTTTTGCGCTTTTTCGTGACTTGACGTTGATTTGGTCAGAGATAGTGCCCCGTCCAGTGTGGCAAGTGGGTGGTTATGGGAAGGCGTTTGAACGTTGTAGGCGCAAGATTAATGTTGCTATTTCGCGCTTTGTGCGTAGTTTGGGTGGAATAGTGGTACGGCACTTTGAGTTGGAGGGGAATAATTCAGATGTCATGCGTCCGGATGGGGTTCATTTGAATCCCATTGGGCTGGACATTTTTAATGTGGGGCTGCAGTCGGGCATTGAGATGGCGCTGTCTGCGAGGGGGCGCGAAGCCGGCGCAGGTCAGGCGGCGGCAGGTCGGCTTCGCGGTGGCGGTTTTCCCTGGACAGCGGAATCGAAAAGGAAAGGACTATGACGCAAGGTCACATTGGGGAGACGACAGTCGGCGCAAGGCTGATGGCTAGCGACGGCTGTGTTGGACTCATGGACAACAAAGGAGGTGAACTGCCTGTTGGGTCCTCACCCAACAGCTGGCAGGAATTAACAATTAAGTTTACTGTTTAATAAAGCTGTGGCCGTTGCCTTTATCCACTAAAAGGTGTCCAGTGTATTATTTGGGGGCAACGGTGGGGATGGAATATGGGTCAGCAGTCAAGTGTCCCCCTGGACAGAATAGGGAAGGGGGAGCATGACTGCTGCCCAGGATAGTGGGATGGTACAATGGTAGCAACAATGTTGCAAAGATGGAAGGATTTATAAGGGGGGTAGCAGGGGAGGACACTTACCAGTCAGAAGGAGATTGTCATTACCCTGGTTGAATTTCCCAGCCTCCCTCCCTGGTTTTTTGTTTGTTTGTGGTGTTGGTGGTTTTTTCGTGTTGTTTTTCTCATTGTCACAGCTGGCGGTTTTCCCTGGACAGCGGAATCGAAAAGGAAAGGACTATGACGCAAGGTCACATTGGGGAGACGACAGTCGGCGCAAGGCTGATGGCTAGCGACGGCTGTGTTGGGCTCATGGACAACAAAGGAGGTGAACTGCCTGTTGGGTCCTCACCCAACAGCTGGCAGGAATTAACAATTAAGTTTACTGTTTAATAAAGCTGTGGCCGTTGCCCTTATCCACTAAAAGGTGTCCAGTGTATTATTTGGGGGCAGCGGTGGGGATGGAATATGGGTCAGCAGTCATGTAATATGTAAAAGGCAAGTTTGCAAAGACCCCTGACGGTGACATTGCTGCTGAGGTTACGGTGGCAGAGGGGGAGGGGTTGCTAAAGGTGATATTTACTTATCTTTACCTGTCCCTTTCGGCTGCCCCATCTTGTTCCGATGAGTTCTCTTCAGCTCCGGCGTCACTTCTGTAATCTCACGCATGCTCAATAGTACAGAACTGAGGTCTATGGAGGATCCCGCAAGACTGGGATCCTCCATTGACAGAGCCAATTCCCTGCAGCAATCTAAGTACCATTTGCATAATTACCGTATATTTTGATTTGCTAACATTTTGAATTCGATTTTGTAATATATTTAACTATATATTTTATGCAAACGTTATTTTAGCTTTGATTTTCTTTTTGCACAGCCCGCTTTAACAAATATGACTTTGTAAGTTATTTATCTATTTGTAACTATTAAAAAAAAAAATACTTTTAGTAAGCTATTCATTCCACTAGACAACTGATTTCATTTACCCTCAATATATCAAATAAAAAACAGCGTTACTTGTCCAGAGGATCCCAGCACGGAAAGAGTAGTGTTTATTCCTGGATGGATGTTATCTAAAAACCACTGGAATTCTTTGCAGCCCAATCTTAGCCTCAGCTGTTCACGCTCATTAATTTCAGCCTTTTCAATCTGAAACCAAAGAGAAAAAGGAACGTCAAAAAGCGCCGGAAGCATAGTTTACATAATACACACCAAAACCCCTTGTAGATTGCATCAGTAAGGTATGGCTAATGATGCTGTATTTAGATCCTATTCATAAATTTGGCTGGTACTGAAGTCATTTGATATGTCATACCTTTGTTATTGGTAATTCTTTTCCAACGTGCTGATAGAAAATGTCCTTATATGAGTCCATCCATACTTCAGCAATTCGAATTTTATTCCTTAGTACGGCCTCATTTGGAAGGGTATTGGACGTGGAATTATTTTGATATATGTGGCCAACTCGAGAGCATGGAATGATTTCAACTAAACCACCACATAGCCAGACCTGTAAAAGCGAAACATATTTTAAAAGTGCATGTTTTTTTTTTTTTGTAAGCCAAATTTATTGAGTTTTATCGACACTTATTTACCATCCAATAGACAGTAGGCTTTAAATACTGTCAATTGGAGCAACAATAATCAACAGGCTTAAAGAAAAAGAAGAAAAAAAAGTAACTGTCAAGACATCTGTTTCTGCTTTTATAACCCATACTTATATTTTTGAAAGTATGGATGGAACACCTTTTTAAGTTACGAATGTAAACTAGGATGACCAGATCATGGTAAGGGCCTAAATCATTCTGGAATTACTCAGATTCTCGTGAGATAAGCTAGTGGGTAAAAGTACATTTTATATTCAAGTGTAAGTCAGAAAGGATTTAACATTGATATAAACATATGATTTGTTTATACTTCTGCTGGTGTCACGTTTTGGACACAGGTGACACCACCATAGGGCGACTCTAGCCACTGGCTCTATACAGACCTTAAAGGCTTAAGTCCAGTAGAAAGACAAACCAAATTGCATTCACCCAGCAAACCTACTTCTGGACAGACTCTAATAACAGATGTGACACTGAGCAAATTCATTTGGGGTGAGTATTTTTTGTTTTCTCAAGCAGCATGTCTATGTCTTCCTACTTTTCTTCTCGTCTGTATGTGATGCTTAAGAGCATCTGCATCAAAGCGAAGGAAAGAAGAGTAATGAAGAGGGTACCACGCATCACAGACAGCAAAGCATGCATCCATCTCTTTGCGTTGTCTATCTGTTGTCTATTCTGAATGCTGGCTGCAGAATGACATTTCCAATCACTCCACACAGCCAGTAAAGTGGGATTAACCATAAGGCAACCATAGGTCGCCATCTAGGGTCCACAAGTTAGACAGGGCCCCCAGAACCATGAATTTGCTAGATCCCATTTACCATTCCGATGTGAAGAATGAAGGGGGGCTAAACTGTGTAGGGTCTGACCAGGCTATACTCTGTCCAAGCTATACCCATTTCAACAATGGACAGACCTGATTTAATTTGTAAGAAGTAACATAAGATTAATTTATGCAATTAAATATCCTGCCATGCAACAAGCAAATCTTGTAGAATGGTATCAGGGGATTTTAAATATATTTCTCTTTATTGTATTATAGTGGACAGTGGAGGCTTGTCAATAGGGACACTTGGGGGAAAATACAACCACTAAGATTTCCTAAGGGGTGGGGGACTAAGCTAAAAAATATGGGACAAAAAGTAGATTGCCATGCTCCAGCCAATGCCTGCCTGTGTGTGTAAATAAATAAATAAATCTGTGTGTCTTTAATTCTGTTTCAGTACTGCAGGGCGCCTGCCCCGAATAGGTGGCTGTGTGAAGAAACATTCTTGAGAACAGCTAGGCATGCCAAAAAAGGACAGATTTTAAATCTTTTTTTTTTCCAGCAAGTTTTGAACATGCCTAAGAAAGAATCTTTAGTGTCTGCCTGATGTCATATTAAACAAGAGAATTTACATTCTTAAACTGTCATGGCAAATTCAGGACTGTTGATATCCATGTGAATAGTGTAAGCTCAGCTGCCCAGTGCCTACAATCTTCTTAAGTGTGCTCAGTCACTCTGTAGCTGAGACCTGAGACACTCAAGCTGTGGTTAGCTGAAAAGCTGTGAAGATCCACTTTGCAGGTCTGGGGCTAGGACTGAGCTGATTCTGATAGTTTCAGTCTCAACTGATGGTCACTTCTATTAAAGGGATCCTATAGTGCCAGGAAAACAAACAAAGCATTATTCAATGCTTTCCTATGGGGAAAATCTGACACTGGAGGTCAATGAGGACGTCCAGCATCAGATAAAGGACCAAAAGTCTGTTTGGATTCCAGAAGCCATCTAGTGGCTGTCTGTTAGACAGCCACAGAGGGCAGACTTAGAGCTGCAATGTAAACATTCTCTGGAACTGCAATGTTGTACATTGCAGCACTAAGTGCAAAAGGGTCACAGCACCCACACTACTTCAATTAGCTGAAGTGGTCTGGGTACCTACAGTGTCCCTTTAATAGGCACTTCTTGGCTCATTTTTACCACTGACGATTGATCACATTGCCACTTGCTGCATTAACCCTGTGTTCACTGTGCGATGGGTGCTAATAGTGATTCAGGAGTAGCTGATGTTTCACATCTACTAGGAAGCAAAAGGGGAGAGGGCTAGAGAGCTAGAGTTAGATAGAAGCACTGGAACATTACATTGTACTGTGTAGGTATCTCTGTATTGACTGGCTATGTGAATGGTATCTCCTTATTGTGCCAAGCTCCATGTTTTATCTTTGTTGTATGTGTATCTCTGTGGTGTATCCAGTTCTGTGTATAAAATAAGTATATTTGTGTTGTCCCCCTGTGATGATTCTTTCTATGTTTGTACATCTTTTGTGAATGACAATTAATGTTTTATATTATCTTCATGGAGTTTACTTCTATGGCGTATATTTTTTTGTTTAAAGCCAACTACTTTTTCTCAGTATTCTTATGACAGGATCTTCCTTGCCAAGCGTTTTTCCCATAAGGATTTAAGAGTTATCAACAGTTTTATATTTTACTGTTTTCTCTGGCTATTTTGCGGGTGTGTCTTTAGCACAGTCTACTTCGTGTACATTTGTTATTTAGTCTGAAAAGACCCCAGTAAGGTATTCCTGCATGCACCCTTGCTGACAGTGATAGGCGCGTTGCCAGCTGCCCAGTACCAATCACGGTGTGATCATCAGGGACAAAATATAGCAATTACACAATACAGAACCCTCCCAAAGCACTCTGTACTGTATTATCTGGGAAATCCCTCCGCTGATGTCAGTACGTTTTGTTAAATTGCCCAATATGAATGGCGTGGGGTTATGGGTTGGATTGGATTGGGGGCTGGGTTAGGCATTGGATTATCTGTATGATTAGGGGTAGAATTTGGGGTTTGATTAGGGGCTAAGGTATACATGTGGGGTACCACTGTAATCAAGAACAGTAGCCAAAATACAAATATGGGGTCTTGACAGTAATAGAACACAGGTGGTCTGTGAGTTTCCCCATGAAAATAAGACATAAGGTGTAAAAAACGCACAAAAATAAATATAACCAGCATATCTGGCCAAAGTTGGTGATAAAATGGTTAGATGTAAAGTGTCAAAATGCTCTTTTTAAATAGGAGACGTACTTTCTACAAATATATACATTTATGTAGTGGTTTTGGATTCTGTGACTATTAAAATTGTAATCTCGGAATGCCAAATTTTGCAAAGGTTTAGCTTTCAAGCCATAATTCACTCCTTGTTTTATAACTTCTAAAAACATTGTTTCATAACTTCTAAAAACTAACTTTTAAAATGTAATTGAAATCCTAGTCATATTGGACAGTATAACAATCAACACTAATTAGTGAATCTATTCTGAGTGAGATTTCTTTACACTTGTTGTGTAGATATTATTAAATGCAACACAGAAAATGTACATGTTTTCATTGTTTTACATTTTTAAAAAAATAATATTTTATTAATTTCATTTAATGTTGTGTTAAAGGGACACTATAGTCACCAGAACAACTACAGCTTATTGAATTTGTTCTGGTGAGTAGAATCATTACCTTCAGGCCTTTTGCTGTAAACATGGTATTTTCAGAGAAAATGCAGTATTTACATTACAGCCTAGTGATAACTTCACTGGCCACTCCTTAGATGGTTGTTAGAGATCCTTCCTGGGTCATGGCTGCCTAAAATGCATCCAAACATTCAGTATCTCCTCCCTCTGCATGCAGACACTGAACTTTCCTCATAGAGATTCATCTCTATGAGGAGATGCTGATTGGCCAGGGCTGTGTTTGAATTGTGCTGGCTCTGCCCCTGATCTGCCTCTTTGTCAGTCTCAGACAATCCTATGGGGAAGCATTGTGATTGGATCAGGCAGAGGCAGCAGCTTTAAACTTGAATACAAGTAAGATTTTACTATATTTAAGGAGGCAAAGGGGGCTAGATGGTGGTTATAACCCTATAGGGTCAGGAATACATGTTTGTGTTCCTGACCCTATAGTGCTCCTTTAATTATATAAATAGGCTATAAAAGCCATGTTTCTCCTTTAAAAAAACAAAACCATATCAAATGTGCTCGGTCACTCTGTAGCTGAGACCTGAGACACTCAAGCTGTGGTTAGCTGAAAAGCTGTGAAGATCCACTTTGCAGGTCTGGGGCTAGGATTCTAAGGACTGAGCTGATTCTGATAGTTTCAGTCTCAATTGATGGTCACTTCTGTTAAAGGGATCCTATAGTGCCAGGAAAACAAACAAAGCATTATTCAATGCTTTCCTATGGGGAAAATCTGACGCTGTAGCACCAACAGTCTGTGAATGTATGGGCACACTTAAACAGAAAGGGTAAAATTGTGGTAGAATGAACACATGGCAAAAATGCCAAAATGGCCTTGGTCACAAATGCATCGGATCTTGGTTCTTAAGGGATTAATGAATGTGCCAGACAGAATTATTCTCTGAAGTGCGATCTGTCGGATTTCAAAGTGAATTTCAAATTTTAGGCCAAAGTAGCTAAAGTGAAAACATTCAAAATTAGCTATTGGGGTCATCCATAATCAATGCAAGGAACATTAATTGTCATGGTGCTTTGACATATGGATTATTTAACAAAATATAGAGACTGTGGATACAAGGTATGGACATTCTGCAATAAAAAGATATTCTCATAACCATAGGGCATCCAATATTGGTAGTATCAGTCTTTAAAACACTGTGTGTCACAGTAACATTGCACTTGTTCAATATGTAAATAATGCAAATTGGATGTGGTTCTGTTATGAATAAAACGTAACTTTTATCAATCATACCAATAAATAATGAATACGATTAGTATTCAGTTAATAATCAGTATAGTAAATACCCAGAAGGGAGTCTACAGCACTAAATATCTGATTATAAAACCTATGATCTTGATCAACTAACTTTCCTAATCAGATTGGAATGAATGCATTGCTTGTTTAGTAGCAGTAGGGGTCGCCACTACCATAAGGCTCCCCTCTAATTACTTCCACCAAAATCGTTAAAGAGGCACTGCAACCGCCCCATTCAAAATGAATATTTCATAAAGACAGAATCTTTATGAAATACTTATATCGACTGTGTTAGAATTTCAGTAAAATTCCAATCTAGTCAAAAGATACAATGAGACAAAGTAAGGACTACTTTGTCTCAGTATTTCTCCTATGCCTGACACTTCTAGACACTGGGCAGAGCTACTGCCTTCAAGAAGTGTCAATCCCCCAGCCATCACCAGTTGGCTCTATCTATGGAGGGATCAGGAGCCATGGGTGAAATGAGCGTCAAGCTATTCTACTTGACTGATGTTCATCTTAGCTACTTGCCATCTTATTTTAAACTTTCCACTATTCTTTCACTATGAAACACTGGCTGGCTGGAAAATACTTAGAGATGAGGTAGCAATTTATTCAGATTAGGAACCTCAGTGAACAGCCTTTTGAGTCTTCACTTGCCTCTTTCTGTGACTTTATTTCTGCACTTTGTGTAGTGTTTCGAAAAGACGTGAGCATCAATGCTTATCATTGAGGTAGTTGTAACCTACTTTTCTAACCTTATAACTGCTACCCTTCTATTTGTATTTGGGTGGAAGTGTCTAATAGTAGTGGCGACCCCTACTGGTATTAAATGAGCAATGAATTAATTCCAGTTTGATTAGGAAAGTTAGTTAATCACCCTTGTAGTTTTTATAATAATACAGTTAGTGCTATAGATTCTAGACATATGCACCAGTGACATTTTCGTTTTGTAGGAATTAATTCATACTAAATAAAATTGTCATTCGTCCATTCCGAATTTCGTCCATAAAACATTTGTTTTCGGACGAAATTCAGTACAAAATAATTTGTTTTTGCCCATTAGGACGACAATAACACTGTGCATGCGCAAAAAAAAAAAAGCAAGGAGAGAGCCAGCACCAGCTCCCTCGTTGTAATAAATATTAACAATTCCTCTCCCCCTTTCCCCCCCCCCGCATTAAAACCTATGGGGGTCACTATGACCCCCATATTAATAAAAGAAAGGTTAAATCCTAGGAATGAATGAATTAGTAGGAATGAATTCATACTAAATAAAAATGGCAATTGTCCATTCTGAATTTTATCCGTAAAACATTTGTTTTCGGACGAAATTCAGTAAAAAAGAATTTGTTTTCGCCCATTAGGACGAAAAAAAACACTGTGCATGCGCAAAAAAAAAAGCAAGGAGAGCGCCAGCACCAGCTCCCTCGTTGTAATAAATATTAACAATTCCTCCCCCACCCTCCCTGCCCCCCCACATTAAAACCTACGGGGGTCACTATGACCCCCATATTAAATTTAAAAAAGGGTTAAATCCCGCATGCCCCTACTTGCGCTCCTGCTGCTTCATTCGGCGTTTGAACGCCAGCAAAACTACCGAATTTTTTTCTAACAGAATGAGAACAGTTTGTCCATTCGGGAGTTTTTGTTCGGATGGGAATTTCATTCGAATTAATGAAATTCCAATCCTATTCGTGCCACGAGTAGATAGCTCCCTAATTCCCACGGTATTGGGGAGCTATCTACTAAAAGGCTGAAAGAACTAAATTGGTCTTTCAGCCAAATGTACTAATACTCAGTAAAGATTACTTAGTATTAGTAATTAAGGGAGAAAATAATCTCCCTTCTGCCCCTACTCGCTATACCGCGAGTAGGGGAATGTCTACTAAACAGTGAGCAGCCGGGTTTAAAAAAAGACCCCTCAACATTCTAATAAAGTGCCCCTTAGTGGGGCACCTTTAAAACTAATTCATAGGGACCCCCGAGTGGGGGCCACTAAACGGGGGACCTAGTTCCCCCCCTCGGCCTCCACCCAGGAGCGGCGGGTGGGGGCCCTCACATACAATGGGCACACACACTGGGGCTCTAGTAAAAAATAGGGGGGGACCTATTGTCTGTCCCCCCAGTCCCCACCCATGAGCCGCAGGTGGGAGCTCTAGTGAAAATAGGAGGGGGAAGAACCTATTGTCCCCCCCGGCCCCTACCCATGAGCATCGGATGGGGACCCTCACGTACAATGAGGAGGGACCTACTGCTTCCCCCCAGCCCCCACACATGGGAGCTTGGGGGGGAAATAGGTCCTTCCCCCCCTATTTTTACTAGGGCTCATGGGTAGGGGTAGGGGTGGAGGCAGTTGGTCCACCCCATATTGTATGTTAGGGGCCACAACTGCTGCTCATGCGTGGGGGACGAGGGGGGATACTAGGTGCATGAGTGGTGGGCCCCCATGGATTATTTTTTAAAGGTGCCCTACTAAAGGGGCACTTTATTAGAATGTTGGGGGGTCTTTTTTTACAACAGTGTGCAGCCACTGGCTGCTCACTGTTTAGTAGACATGCCCCTACTCGTGGTATAGCGAGTAGGGGCAGAAGGGAGATTTTAATTTCCCTTAACTACTAATACTAAGTAATCTTTACTTAATATTAGTAAATTTGTCTGAAAGACAAATTCAAATGAAATTCCGATCCGAACAAAAACTCCTGAATTTCATTCTTATACAAATGGTCAAACTGTTTTCATTCTGTTAGGACGAAATTCGAATGCCGAATTAAGCAGCAGGAGGAAGGTGAGTATTATGGGAAAATTGCTTTGACCACAGGAAAGAAGCAGACTTTGCTCCTTCCCTAGGTCAAAACTGGTCAAGCGTAGGAAAAATACATAATAGTCCCTACTTTGTCTTATGTTTTTAAGAAACCTAGAGCAGACAGGAAGAAATGAAGAACGGATCCTGAGAGAGGGAGAGAAGAGGAAGTGATTGGGGAAAGGTAAGAGCAGCATGACAGTGCTGCTTTACGTCTCCTGCTGCAGGGAGATCCAGGTTTTTTTGTTTCTCCTCAGTGCTTTGGGGGTTAATTCTCCTGCAGCATGTAATCTATTAAACGAAAGAACTGAAATGAAAAGGTAATGCATTTGGCATTTGCCTTTTTCGTTTCATATATAATTTGTATGTAGGACTTTCGTTTATGTTATAGTAAACAAATACGAAAAATTCTGAAAATGCGGACTAAATCATATTCGTCCGATAACGAATGCACATGTCTAATAGACTTCCTCTTTTTTTACTATGCCAATTATTAATAGAATACTAATTTAGATACAAATCTTATTAATTTTTTATTGGTATATTTTATATATAGTATGATTAAAGGGACACTATAGGCACCCAGACCACTTCAGTTCATTGAAGTGGAATAGGTACACTGTCCCAGGTCCCTTAACCCAACAAGGCTAATTATTGCAGTTTTTAAAAGACTGCAATAATTAACTTGGTGGGTTAACTCCACCTCTAGTGACTGTCTTTCAGACAGCCACTAGAGGGACTTCCGCTATGCATGGGGACGTCCAGTGTCACCCAAACCCCCAAATTCTAATACCTCAGTCTGGTGGTAGACCAACAGAATATAAGTGATTTGTGTGAGGCAGTACTTGTTTTAATATTTAGTTTCAATAATTGAGTTATCTTTACTTTCTCCATGTAGTTGCTGTTATGAATTGTAATGTAATGAAAATATTTGTGATAGTAATTATATCTTACCCGAATAGACAGCTCCAAGTTTTCAACCCCCCAGAAGTTGATGCCTGTATCAAATCCTCCAATATTTTGAAAGTAATGACGATCAATTGCCACAACGTGCCCCGATATTATTGGACTTCTATATGGAAATAAAGCAATATCTCTTGTTAAAGATAGTGTATATATTAATTGTAAAATACATGAAAAAAAGCTTGAATGCAATCCGCTAAATGCAGAATAGTAGTGATTAATAATAATATCCTAATTTGTTTTTTCTAGCTACACTCACATTTTTATGCAATTTAAAAATTATTGAAGGTATTGTATTAAATACAAAGCTGTACCCCTCTCACTGTAGTTCCCTCTGCCTCCCCGCTCCCTCGTGCCCTCCACCACGGTAAATAAAGGGTTACAAACCCTCTATTTAATTACCTTATGCCAGCACCGATGTCTCTTGGGGCTGGGTCAGAGCTCTGCCTCCTCCTCCATCCTGCAACGAGCGGGCACTAATGCGCATGCGTGGCAGATTTGCCGTGCACGCATTAGACTTCCCCTTAATAAGCATTGAATCAATGCTTTCCTATGGGGAAAAATCTGACACTGGATGTCCTCACGAAGAGCGTGAGGAAGTCCACAGTCGGATAACGGACCAAAGGTCCGTTTGGATACTGGATGCACCTCCAGTGGCTGTCTGGGAGACAGTCACTGGAGGCAGACTTAGTGCTACAATGTAAACATTGCAGTTTCTTTGGAACTGCAATGTTTAACATTACAGCACTAAGGGCAATAGGGGCATTGTACCCAGACCACTTCAATAAGCTGAAGTGGTCTGGGTGTCTGTAGTGTCCCGTTATGTGCATTAATCAGGGTTATTTTGAGTAAAATGAAGGGTCTAGAATCTTTTTAAATATTATCACTCAAGTAAGCAATTATAACTTCTAGAATCCTAATATTGGGAGCTATGAAATCAGAATTAGAAGTATAAACGGATGAATTAATGATGCCTTAAAATGAGGGTGTCATCCTGATTTGTATGAACTCAAGGGCATTAAAGCTTTCTACAACAGACCAAATTTCCTGGAATAGCTTGATGACTAAAGTATTGCAGAACTGGGATGATTAGATGAACTAGGGATGGACTTTAGGGGCTAGACACCCAAGTGTAGGGCTGATTCTATATCATGAGTGTCTATAGACACATAATTCTCAAGCACCCCCAATATCCTCTTCCAAACCAAAGGGAAAAAACTTGACCATTTACATATGATAAAAATTGTTCTATATATACACACATATAGAGTGTTTGTGTATGTGTGCTTAGAGAGACAGACAAGGGCTGGTGGAGGGGGGGGGGGGGGGGGCAGAATGGATGACAGGTATGTGTCTAATGGTTGGTCGCAATGGACAAGAGGGACACTAAAGGGGCTGTGGGGAGAAAGTGATATACAGAGGGACTGGCGGAACAAAGAGACAGAGAGGGGCTGGTAAAGGGGCAAAAGAAACGGACAGGGGCTATGGAAGGGGCAAAAGAAACATAAATGGGCTTGGGGTAAAAAATACAGACCAGGGACAAAAGAGACAGACAGAAAAAAGATTTAAAAATAATGTACTAAGAATTTATCACTGAAAGTATTATGCTTCATATTTCTTAAAGGGTTACTCCAACCATCAAGTTCACTTCTGCTTTTAGACACACAGATACAAACACTGGCAAACATGCAGACACGCAGATACAAACAATGACACACATACAGATACACAAATGCAAACACTGACTCACATGCAGATGCACAGACACACATATACAAACAATGACAAACATGCAGACACAATGGTATCCACAATGGACACACATGCAGATACAGATACAAACATTGACACACATACAGCTGCACAGACACACAGATACAAACAATGACACACATACAGATATACAGACACACAAATACAAACACTGACACACATGCAGATGCACAGACACACAGATGCAAACACAATGATACATATACTGACACACATGCTGACACAGATACAAACACTGACACACATACAGATACACAGACGTACCGATACACACACTGACACATACACACAAATACAAATACTGACATACATACAGATACAGACACACAAAAACACCAAAGACACTCATACAGACATATATGCTAATCAACATTTTGCCACCCTCCAGTTTCCTACTTTTAAGTTGCAGGAGAGTGGCTTCTGCTGGCTGAGGCTGTTGAGCGTTATGGGCTTGTTCTCCCTGTCCATCCCCCTCCTCTCTACCACCTGCTTTCCCTCCTGTGTGGCTTGATGTGTGTTAGCTGGGAGGAAGTGACCAGCTATTACTTCCTCCCAGTGCTGTAATATTACGAATGTCCATCAGGTGGCCCTAAGTGCAGGGGCCATCTGATAGGCCCCTTCACTCTGCAGACCAGCTGGTGCAGTAGTTGTGCCTCTGCTCATACATTCGGCTACTAGTTTTATTTCTGTGGAGCTGTGTGATACACTCATACATACCACAATTTACAGTTATCAAGGTCTGTTTTTGGCTCAAGACCCTGGTGTCTCTGGAATCAAGAAATGCTCCTGGATATCAAAATTACACTGCTATTAACATAATGCAGAGTGATTATTATCATCACTTATATGGCACCAAAATATTCTGCAGTGTTTCACAATTTATGAAAGGGGATATTGAACAATAGGGATGTGCATGGGCAATTCGATTTGGTTCGGCACTTCCAAAATTCGGGACTTTGGCAATTTGGGAATTCGACAATACAGCACTTTGGCACTTTGGTTCAGCACTTCCGAAATTCGGGACTTTTGCAATTCGGCAGTTCGGGAATTCTGGACTTCGGCAATTTCCTAACCCTAACCCTACCCCTAATCCTAACTCTAACCCTACTCCTACACTTAACCTTAACCCTACCCCTAAACTAACCCTACCAGGGTTAGGGTTAGGTTCTTGTCATCATTCCCTTAATTTTCCCTCCCTCTCCTGTTTTGCCACTTTTCAGAAATCCGAAGCACTTCGGCACTTCTGAAATTCAGTATTTCGGCAATTCGGTTCGGCACTTCGGCAATTCGGGACTTCAGCAATTTGGTTCGGCACTTCTGAAATTCGGCATTTCGGAAATTCAGCAATTCGGACATTCGGAAGCATCCGAATTGCCGAAAGTCGTCCAAATTTAAATTCGGACCGAAATTAATTGCACATGTCTATTGAACAAGGCCCTGCTCAAACAAGCTTACAATCCATGAGGATTGAGGTAGACAGATATATAGTTAGGTATTTTGCCAGGGGACACTTACAAGGGTTGTCTGACTGATCAGAGCCAAACCCAAGCTTTGCAGTTCTAAGGCAGTCGCATTACCAATATCTTGTTACAGTTACACTGTAATAAGCACCAGGGTAATTTCACAATTGCAATGAAAAAAACATATCACAGAACCAGGATGATGCCACAGTTACACTATAATAAACATATTGCAGAGCCAAGTTGATGTTAGTTACACTGCAATAAGTATATTACAGAATCAGGGTGATTTACAGTTACACTATAATTAACATATCACAGAATCAAGGGTTTGTCAAAGTCGCACTGTATTAAACATATGACAGAGTATAAGGTGATTTACAGTAATAATGTAAAATGCATATCGCAGATCCAAGGTAATGTCAGTTACACTGTAATAAGTATATTACAAACCCATGGTGATCTATAGAGAATCTGCAAAAAACATGTTACAGAATCAGGCTGATATCACAGTTACACCATAATAAACATATTGAAAAACAAGGGTTATATCAACAGATACCCTGTAATAAAGATATTACAGAGCCACAGTGATGTAATATTTACACTGTAATAAATATATTACAGAATCAGGGTGATGTTACAGTTATACTGAGAAAAAATGACCACAAAGCAACACTGCTTTCACAAAAAGTGTGTAGCATAAAATGCAATCATTATTTTAATTCTTTTATCATATTCATTTATAAGATTGACATCAGAAAATGTTTATGTGGCATGGATTTGGAGTACTATTAGCTTAATTTAACATGCTAACATCATAACTGTGACCTGCTTATGTGGTTTAACATAAGAAACCAGTAGTTGTCCGGATTGCGAACTGCTAAGAGGAATGGTAGCTAAAGTGTAACTGCGAAGATTTAAGTATTCTCGAAAAAAAATTGTGAAAAAAAAAGAAACGTTGATAAGTTTGACTTAGTAAGTCGAGTAACATTAAAAGTAACACCACCCAGAGAAATAGCAAGATCAAAAGTGTGCACATCTGAGACAACAACAAACAAAGTAAAATAGTGTGTCTGTCAGAGAGTTGTCAGAGAGATAATAGATCATTCTCAGCCAATCATGTAAAATCCGAAGAACTATGGAAAGATCCCAAAGTGTTGAATACTATAGATCCAGCAGTTGAGAGAGCCGAATACCACACATAAGACGACAAACAAGAGGATCTTTCCTGACAGGTACACCTTATATCAGAACATGACCCACCGAGATGGTCAAACAAACCACATTAATAGACAGATATAATCTAGCGTTGGAAAAGCCACAGGAGAAAATTTAGTATGACTGACAAAGGAGATTTAAAGGGATCACTACCCTTTTCCATACACCAGCCACACCAGCAGTTCCAAGATGAAAGATAGCATCTTCTGGTGCCTAGTAGTCCTAGAAAAGAGACTTTGCTATGCCCGATAGGTTTCCAACATTCCACGAATCCCTAAAAGAGTCCAAGGCACTATGGAAAACACATCTGCTAGCAGATGGGTTTTTCATAGTGGGTCAGTGAGGAGAAGTGGAAAGGATGGAAACAGAAAAGGGTCACTGTATGCAAGAAACCAAGGCTGACCATACAAAAAGGAGGTTATCAGTGTGATGGATACCTAGGGTACTTGCAGATTGTGGATCACTCGGGCCAAAAGCCTGGAACGGGTAAACACCTAGCTGAGGTCAGATCCATACAAAGGCACCTACTGCCAGACAATCTGGGTGCGGAAGCCAACTGAAGAAATGTAGGCTTTAATAGTTGGTTTTGGACACAAACCGATCCATATGAAACAGCCCCAGCAGTCTGCAGATTTTGCAGAACACCAACCTGTCCAATCTCCGGTTGATAGCATCCCTCCAATGTCTGGAGAACCAGTCTGCTGTCGGGTTTGCTGCACCAGGGAGATATTCTGCTTGGAGCAAAATATTCTGAGTGAAACAGAATTGGTAGAGATGCTCTGATAGAGTACAGGAATGTGCCCCGCCAAGACAGTTGATGTACCACACAGCTTAGAAATTGTACATTCATAAAAGGATGCATCAGTTTGATACATTTCTGGGAAAGACATTTATGAGTTAAATCACTTTGTTTATGCAGCCCTTGGCACACCTCCCTGTATGTGACTTACACAGCCTTCCTAATCACTTCCTGTAAAGAGTCCTCTAATGTTTAAACTTCATTTATTGCTAAATTCTGTTTATTTGAAAATATTTCTTATCTCCTCCTCTGTTAATAGTATGGCAGACCCTGCAGGAGCCTCCTGTATGTAATTAAAGCTCAATTTACAGAGCAGGAGATTAAAAAAAATTTAAAATAAGTTACATCTAATTGAAAATGAAACTATTTTGTTTTAATGCAGGCGGTCAGTCACAGCCACGAGAGGTGTGGCTTGGGCTGCATAAACAGAAACAAATTGATTTAACTCCTAAATGGCAGATAATTAAGCAGTGAAACTTTAAATGCATGATATATACACCAAAATGCTTCATCAAGCTTAAGTTATTTTGGTGACAATAGTGTCCCTTTAAGGATTCATCAGATCACACATTTATTTTGTTTTTAGTGTTTAGGAGTGTTTTGTTCTGTAGTCCATTGCAACAGAGTTTGTGTGTGTTTTTTGTTTTGTGTGGGTTTTTTGTTTTTTTCAATTAAATGGAACATCCTTAGAAGCAAAATTAACATTTTGTAGCAACATATTATGAGATGACTCCCAATCTTTTGCAAATTGTCAGTTATTTAACAGAATCATGTCTGTTGCTTAACATTCTGTATTTTTTCCTAACGACTGAATGAATTCTGTGAGAAGGACTATCTTACCATACATTGCATGAAAACATAAATAGAACATTTAAAAGCACAAACCGCTTTTCCTTTCCCACTTACACACCCAGCCCATGTCTTAGTTGCATCAAGTGTTAAGAATCCCTATTTAACCTATCTACTCCCGTTCATGTGATTTGACTGAAGTGGACTTGACAGGTTACATTAATAAGGGAGCAGAGCTGTCACCTGGATTAACCTTGTCCATTTATTTTTGTGAAAAGACCAGGTGTCCCTCATGTTTCCTACACTCAGTGTACAATATATGTCAATCATTTTAAGCTTTTGTTTAATAGGAAATCTAAGTGGGATATATTTTCCACCTCAATAATACTGAGAACAGTTGTACGCATAGGTTGCGGTTAGCCTTACATACGGTATTTATGTATACTTGTAATTGACATGTGATTTGAGAATTCTCATATTTTAAACTAACAATAATTTGACATCTGACATCATTTCTTTTTCCTGGAAGTAGCGGCAATTTAAAGCACCATTTTCAAAGGCAAAACACATACAAAAACCTGCATTCTTCATATCTGCTATTAAACCACTTGCGCCATGTATATTCCATGCCCCAGTAAGCTGTATTCTAAAACTGTGCGCAAAATAAACTTGTTTTGGCACTCTGACAGACACAAATCTTTTAATTTGTTTTGTTAGGGGAATAAAAGTTTAAGGCTCAATGTCAAGAAAGTGAGTGCCACAACAACTTTATTTTTTGTGTGAGTATTTAAAGATTACCTGAACGGAATGATGGGAGATTGGCGTACCTTCTCTTCATGCTCTGGTAATGTTACCCAGTGAAAATCAAGATTCCAATCAAATACACCTTGTCGCAGGTCAGCAGAGTAATAATACTCATATGTCTTCCAATTAATAGTGTCTAGAACTGGAGAGACTATTCGATTTCTAGAATTAAAAAAATAATAATTGCAATAAATGTTCATATTATGTTTATACATATTTTATATTAGACTTGGCTTGACTTGAGTTATGTTATAGATGAGAAGGAGAATGCTAATGCCTATTTCAGGTTTGGATTGGGTTTTTATAAGTGCAGAACTCTAATGTGTGCGAAGCCAAAAAGCAAACTCCTTGGTTAAGCAGAATATTTAAAGGATCACTATAGGGTCAGGAACACAAATATGTATTCCTGACCTGTAGTGTTAAAAGAACCATCTAGCCCCCTGCCTCCATAAATATAGCAAAATCTTACTGTATTCAAGCCTAAAGCTGTAGATCTGCAAGCTGTTTGTCTCAGAAAAACAAGCTGTCTGCTGACATCATCAGAAGTGGTAGCCTGATCCAATCACAATGTTTCCCCATAGGACTGGCTGAGACTGACAAAGAGGGAGATCAGGGGCAGAGCCAGCATGATTCAAACACAGCCCTGGCCAATCAGAATCTCCTCATAGAGATGAATTGAATCAATGAATCTCTATGAGTAAAGTTCAGTGTCTGCATGCAGAGGGAGGAACTACTGAATGTTTGGATGCAGTTTAGTTGTTTTTGTGACTATAGTGTTCCTTTAAGGCCAAAGTAGCTGAACTGGATGCATAGTTGACTTAGAGATTTTTTTCCGTTCAGCTATTATGGCTTTAAAATTGAAATTCACTGTGTATTCTCACTTTACTGAATAACCTAGAATTTTGAAAAATGACAGGCAGATAGGAAGTCCCAGCACCAATAATATTGGCCCAAAAAGGCGACTCCCACCATGGGTATGGATTGACCATGTTCCCAAAATCATTTTGCCCTTCATCTACCGGTACTTGGAAAGACATGCATGAATGTTTATAGGAGATGAGATGATGTTAATGTACAGGTGTATATTGTAGATACTATTTGATAACTAGAAGATGGTCTCACCTGTTATCCAGTATTCGGTTCAGCAAGGGTTCAAGCCAGCCTTTGTGACACTCACAGTGGGACTCCATGAAGACCAAGACCTCCCCTGTCGCTCTTGCAGCTCCCAGTTTACGGGCTCCATAAGCCCCCAGTCTCTTATTACTTCTTATCAACTTCAATCCACCAAGTCTAGAAATATATTCACTCAGGGCAGACTTCAGTTGTCCTAAGGCCGTGAATAATAAATATAATTATCACCTCAGTGTGCTAAATTATGCTATCTTAATTTTAGTGAATCATTTGGTGTTATACTCTATTTAATTTAAGAGATGTGTTTTTAAATGACACAGTGCCTTTTCTCTTTTGCATTCTAAGTTAAAGTTAAACATCTGCTTATTTAGGCAGTTTCTGTGTGTAGATCTTGTCTCTGAAGTTTCACTGCTCAGTTATCTGTCATTTATGAGTTAAATCACCTTTTGTTCTGTTTATGCAGCCCTAGCCACACCTCCCTGGCTGACACAGTGATTTAACTCCTAAATGGCAGAGAATTGAGCAGTGAGACTGTATATGTATTTTATATACACCAAAAGTGCTTCATTAAGCTAAAGTTGTTTGGGTGACTATAGTGTCCCTTTAATTCAATACCTATCCATAATGAGATCTGCTGATCACTGGAGAAAATAGGATGAAGCTTACAGGGTTATTTAGTAAAGTGAGAATTGGAAGTGAATTTCAAATTTAGGGTAAAAAAAGGCCAAATTAGACAAATTCTCCAAATCAGCGATGCTTTCAGTTTGGCTACTGTAGAATTAAATTTGGCATTCACTTTGAATTCTCAGTTGAAATAACCCTGTTTGCAAAGTATAATGCAATCTTGAAACCAGGTATACCTATTTTTAGTTTTGTGTCAGATCCTCCAATGGGCGCCAATTATTAGACTGTAATATTATAAAGGCAGGTAGGTTGTATTCCTAAATATTCTAAGTGATCATGTTTCTTTTTATCATGGTAAACACCCTTCTGACAGTAATGTCAATTTGCTTACTTGATAATGTTTGAAATTGGTAGAAAACAATTGTGCGCTGCAACCAAGATGTTCTTGACAGTTCTGGTGAGTTATATTAACTACCCTGCGTTCGATAATTTTATTTACCAAGTGACTCTATTTTTACTCTCCCCTCATTATGGTAAAGAGAAAGCAAAATGTGCGGTACACAATTCAAAAAAACATATTTAGTATCCAAAATATGACAGTGTGGTAGCAGAATCTACTGAACCTACCGATCACGGGTCTCCTGGACATACAAACACAAATAATGCACACACAAACACACACAAGTGAAACCACATGTTTGAAAGAATACACCATTCTTCTACAAGGCAAGCTTCAATTTGTTTCTTGTATAATGAGAGGTGGAAACAAAAACAGTGGAGGATCCAAGGGGGAACACAAAGGTAAATTGTCCCAAATAAGCCATGTACATTATTTTCATAATTCTTTATTTATACAACAGAGTTTAGATATACCAAAAGATGAAAAAGGCGCAAATGGAAAACAAACCAAACAATAATATTGAAACAGAACATTGCAAAGGCATCAAGTTCAATAAATATCAAGATAATACAAGATGCCATAATTCAATCTATTTCTGATTATTGTGAATTGCTCCTAAGGGGAATTAATGAGAATCTAGTGAATCCAAAACAAAACCTTGGTTCATATGCTTGAAGATCAACCAATCAAAAGCAGGTTTTGCAAGTATGTTTAAAAGCTCATTCTATTTGGCCTCTGGATCTGCCCCGAGCAGTGGTAAAAAAGCCTTTCAAAAATCTAGTTGATTAGGGATTGAGATGTGGGATAAAGGAATATCATGGAAGTTGTGTATGGTCGTTCTAGTGTTTTTAATTACATACTGCATAAATATATTCTAAATTCCAGAAATGGAATCAAATGTAATGTATTCTGTATTAGAGCTTACGGTGTACTGCTCCTGCCGTATGTTAACTTTATACCACAGGTAGTAATGAAAAACCAACAGCCAAACTTTACTGCTAAACCTTGGCTGCTGTTGAACTGAATCAAACCAATGTTAACAACATAACCTTTCATATAGTCAATTGCAAAATACAAACAGTGCTCCTGACATCAAATACTGATTAACTAAATCACAACAATTATATACGCATCAACATTTCAAATGGCCATTTTAAAACATCTAGTTAAAGTTGAGTGAATGGAACAGTAGGGACAGAGGGTTTTGAGCACAAAATAGGGACTGTACCTCCTAAACAGAGACAGTTGGGGGGTATGCTATTTTAATCATCAGGCTTCATAACTCCTGTATGCTCGTGGCCTGGAGAGAAATTGCCCCACTGCTCCCTTGACAGCTCTCCTATGGGTTTTGGGTCCAAAGAAGGACTTATTCCCATAATAAGGGATACTTGGATGGTGTGTGGTTATGCCTTTTCATAGTATTAGTTTTTACTAAATATCCCTCATATGTTGGCTGTATGTATGATTGTTGGGAAGTACCTGGCAAACATGTATCCCTTTTCCAGCTTATACTTTTTATAAGTAATGGAAAGTCCCTTTTATGGACGAAGATATTGACTGGTTACTCATACGTGCTGTTAAAATGTTCGTGATTTAAAATAAAATTTTCTCTTCTTTGTAGATCGTATGTCTGCCTAAGAGAGCCCCAGAGCTTTGGATTACTAGTAACTATATACCTTAATGATATGTAACCCACTTCCTGGCAAAAGACATAGACAGCAGATTTAATATTGATTTGGCCCATTGCTTGTATGGGAAAAGGCTGACGTGCATGTAACCAGTTATGTAATGCTTTTATAAATATTTGGAACAAAATGAGAATTTTTCTTGAAATGGCCAGTAACTCTCACATTCTAAGGACCAGGACAAGACGTGGAGGACAGATAGCAAGAATAATTGTATCTGCCACTATTTTCCCATCACTGTACTGTTGATAAAGAGAGATAATCGATTTAGGGCCAGATAGAGTGCTTTGCATTGTGTTAAACAGTTGCGTGACACTGATTGCAACTAATATGGTTAATTTAGCAGCCCAAACTTAGATTACAAGCCCATCTGAAAATGCTTTTAAAATATTCTTCAGCCGCTCAGTGGAAGGCAATATGTATAAATATTGAGAAAGTTGCTAGCTGTGGATAAATTACAGCAAAATACTTAAAGGGACAGCTTAATGTAGTTCTTATGGTGTCTTCGGGGTGTCTCTGCAGGCTTTTCAATGGCTTTTTTCCCCCAGAGAAAATGCAGTGTTTACATTACAGCCAAAGGATCTCTCACCTGGTCACTCCTCAGAAGGCTGCTTGAGGTGCTTCCTGGGGCAGTACAGTGTGCAGCACTGCCATTCAGTGTCTCCACCCTCTGCATACAGACACTGAACACTTACCATTGAAATGCATTGATTCAATTTATCTCTATAAAGGAGATTGGTGCAGCGTTTTGCCCCGCATGTAAGTAAACTACCCTTTTAAAGGGATGAAAGGAGTACATTATAGTGTTCCTTTAAAGGGTTACTCCGACCACCATCACCACGTCTGCTTTTAGAAGTGGTCATGTTCGCAGGATCCACTGCGTGCAGCATTTCTGCTTGAAACTCTGCACATACAGAGAAATCTACAGTTTTGTGCATGGGATGAGTTGTACCCACGTGACTTAGGCAGACAGACTCTGTTCCAGACTTAAAAAGTAATACAAAATACACAATATAGTTCCCTAGTGCACACCTAATTTGTATCAATATTATTTACCATAATTTTCTCTTTTCTAGAAAAGACTTTTTCAAGTCTCATACGCAAGAATCTTATTTTGTTTTTACTTGTTTATTTATTTTAATAAATTGTTTATCACCTCCAATCTAGTAGAATCAGTCTTCTTTGGGAATACCGATGCTGACTTTAGTGTCGAGCGTGCTTTATTTGGCTCCGAAGCATGTGAGTGCATCTCATTATATATACATGATCTCCATTACAATGCAGTTTTTCCTATAGTTTCAACCTTTCCTTGTAGTATCTACAGAAGAGGGAGCCGGACTGCCCTTAATAGTCCTACAGCTTTTTTAATAGAACTCTGCTTTTTAAACGTCTCTATTGTTACTTTTGTGAATTTCAAAATAGATAAGTATTTATTGTTTGCTCCATCTGTGTGTGTGTGACTTTAACTGTTCCAGGATGAGTAATATAAGTTCTGTACAAAAAATGAAGCCTGTCGTTAGTGTGCATTGCACACTATCAACAGAATAATGAGCTGCTACCTTGCAGGCAGCGTCTGCAAGGGGATGCATTTATCTCCCCTCCCTCGCTCATTAAATCCCTCCCGCCTTATGTTTTTTTTAGTTTTTGTGGTCGTCTAATTAAAAATATTTTGTGAGAAGAATTAAAGCTTGACCAGGCAACCTATGACGCTGGCTGAAGACGGTTACACCTGACCATCATTAAACTCCTACATGAACACCGGATATGCCTTATGGATCGTAGATAATCATTACACGCCTTTTCTGTATGGAGATTATTAAAGGGTTACTCCAAGCACCATGACCCCTTCTGCTTTTATAAGAGATTGTGATAAGAGGGGTCTATATGTGCAGTGTTTCTGCTTGAAACCCTGCTTATCCACAGTCCCTATACCCTTGACTATTTTATTTTGCTTCTACTGCCCTCCCTCCTCCTTTCTATTTCCTCACTCCCTCTCCTCCACCCTTCACTGGCTCAGAGTGTGCATATGCACTCTATGATGGTTAAATGTTTTAATCAAAGGCTCTGCTATGAGAAGCCTTTGATTGGACCTCTGTGCGGCTTCCGTGATATCAGACGGGAGCGCGCTGAACAGTGCTGGGAACTTCATTCGGTGCTAGAATTTAAGTAAGTAAAACCTTTTTTTTTTTTTAGTACGTTTTTTTTAGCATTTCTGCTAATAATGTCCAGTAGGGCATTATTCTTTAAAAAAAAAAAAAAAAAGAAAGCCAGTGATTACCTTGTTGACTTAGATCATCGACTAAGATAATTTCCTTTACAACATTTCTGGGAGAATTGTCAAGCACGCTGTGCACCGTTCTCAGGAGTGTAGACCAAGCCTCATCATGAAAAGAGATAATAACACTGGCTGTGGGTAATTTTTCATGGTAACTCTGGTGGAGACAACTGTATGGAAAAAAACCAATTATTAATACCTCTGATTAATGTGTCAAAACCGGCGTTGACTAGGATACTATAACATTAGAAATATGCATTTTAAGGGGCACTCCAGACCCTAAAGAATATTTGCTAGCTGAAAAGGTTTATGTGTGAAGAGTGTGCCACTTTTTATACTTTTATAAATTACCCTGGTTACACCCCCCTCATGCTACTTCCTGTTTGGTTAGCTCAGTGTAGCTAAACTCAATAGGCAGCAATTGCTCAATGCACCTGCCTTGCAAAGACTTCTCACTGAGCTGCATTGGGAAGTCTGTGATTGGACAGCCACAAAGTCTAGGCGGGGTCAGAATGGGATGGTTTGCCAAGGCTGCAGACAGAGAACTGCAGGTTTTGCAATCAGTTTTTATACATACCCCAATGAAAAAAAATTCATAATTAAATGCATATCTACTAAACAATGATTTTTATTTATTTTGTATTTGAACAGTGGAGTGCCCCTTTAATGTTGGTAACAGTCTGTTCATGGAAAACAAATCCTATGCAAATGTACAATTTAGCTTAATTTGCCATGACACTATACAGTGGGTAGATATGGAACTACAGACTCAGAAAAATGTTGATACAATCGGCAAAAAGGGATGGGTAGTCGGTGACCTCAGAATTGTAAAATGTAGTCAAAAATAGCTAAGTTGTGACTATCAGTGAATCGGACAAATTTTGAAATCAGTTCTTTTTGCCCAAATTTTGTATTTCAAATTTTTAGCTCATTACAATTTGGTGTTTAGTGAATAAAGCCCATAGATGTTAGATAACAGTACAATTGCAAAATTCCCTTCCTACACACAGACTGTCTCCCTCAAAAATACAGTCTTCCTTAGCACACAAAACCAGGCACATACATCCATTCATTTATATTCCTCAGACAAAACATACAGATACACTTAAAGATTCCTTATCTAACATAAAGTATGTGTACACATTCAGATTCTAAAAACAGACATGGCTCCATAACACATTATATTAATGAAGTGGTTATGGTGCCTAGAGTTCTGTCCTTCCATTATGTTTTAAATATTTAAGGGGCAACTGTCATCACATTTTCACATCTTATTGTTCTTATTGTTATTAAATTCTTTATTTAAGACTACAAGAAGACAATTGGTATACAAACAGTATATTTTTTGACATAATACAAGGATTAAAAAAAACATTGTAATACATTCACTATAAATTTTCTGATGGCTGCTCAGCCAAATACAAAGGGATATTTTTAAATATTGTTAAGTTTCTTTAAATGTAATAAACTTTGAAAAAAACATTGTGAAAATTTGTTGGCCGTTGCCCTTTATCACTGTGTTTCTGTCCTCCACTGGAGGCATGGCTAAGATGGAGATGCACAGCAGTGCCTATAACTGCATGGGTAATGGGGGAGCATAAGCCCCAGCAGTCAAGAGGGTCCAGGCTATATATATAACCCTGCATAGATAAATGGCACCAAGGGAAGGCAGAAACTTCAGTTTGATGAAGTGGTTATGGTGCCTAGAGTGTCCCTTAAATATACACATACACAGAATCCTCCTTCAAAATACATTTTCACACAATGATCACCATACACACCATACACACATAAAGAGACAATCTTAATAAAATGCTCATATACACATTCCATTAAAATTCACATACTGTCAAAAGTTAGCAAAAGACAAAGTGGGAATAACTTTGTCTTATGGTAAATCTCTGTCTTGACAAAAAGCGGACTTACTGCCGTCAAGCTTTGTCCCTTCCCCCAGTCCTTAACATAAAGCACTTTTTTGCTCATTTTGAGTCAATATCTATGGAGGCTCCTGCGGTCTAGATATCAGTGTTGTACTCGTGCGCATATGCAAGACTAACGCTGTGGGCTGCTGGCAGACGAAGGAGCAGAATCTGATAAATTAGAATAGCAGACAGCTTCAGGTAAGTATAACTTACCTCCACTGCACCACCGTCCATCGAACGCTGAGCAGCATTGTCGTCTTTGGGAGTCTTTACAAAATAAGGCGACAAAGCCGCTTTATAGTGACATACTGAATCATCTGACATGCACAAAGAGCCCCTCACCCCTAAAATCCTAAAGCATATACGATTTTCCCATCTAAGCATAATGGAATCCCCCTTCTCAATGAATGCACACAGGAATGCCTTCCGTAGACATACAACTCAACCCGTAGCATATTTCTTTAATTCTGCTCCTTAACACACACTGTCTTCCCTAGAAAACACTTGCAAATGCACAGAATTTTCCTAAACAAACACACATGCAAACTGTATGTGAACAGGCATAGCAGATGTGCTGATATTTTCATGCCATATGCATTGCATTACGCAGCACTAAAGCAGAACTTTTCTACTGGTGTTAAACAGCACAGGTGCTCAACTTGGAGAATTAATACTCCATATATCTCTGTTACTGACACAAATATAGTCTCTGCATTACTCACAGCGGGTGCCGACCCTCCGGTATTTTCCTATGTAAGGGAATTCTTTGGCTGGCAGACGAGTCCAAACCTTGTCTATTTAGTGCGTTTCCTTTTTGCGTGACACATACCACAGATGGTATGTCCTCTTCATTCTTCTTCTTGGGTTGACCCACTATCTTGTACATTTTTCGCCTGACCCTGTCAAGACCTTGCGCAGGTCCAGACATCTTCATTGCAATCAAACCTTCATCCCTTAAAGAAGATAAAGGAGAAAGGACTTCCACCTTGTACCCTTGTCTGTTATTATCCCTCTCCAGAAACAAGCCCATGGCAGGCCACCCATCGTCAACCTCGTTGTGATGTGGATACGGATCTCTGGATGTGCCCACACTATGGGATATTGGATCCAGAACTGTGATCATCAATAGTAGCAATAGCATCCCCAACATAAGCACAAATAACTGCAGCTGGCATAGCAGCGATCTGCATCTCTTTCTCAACAACATGTTGATTGCTGTCTACTAAGACATACACCGTCATGGTATTGGCAAATATCTTCATTCCTGATCAGCTTGCTTCTCATCTAATTTTTCAAAAACAAGTCTTTATCTTTGCTATGAGCATCCAACTTGCACACTCTTTGAGAGTATGTATGTATGTACATTGAATGTTAGATATATTCCAATACAATATGTAAATCGTATAAAAATCAACCAAAGAAAGAACACAATCCAAAACTTTTAGATGTCACTATTCTTGCACAGTAGGTCATAGAGGAGATCTGCTTAGAAGACATTCTATCTTCCTTCTGGGGAACAATTTCACGTGTTCCGTGTAAGCTCCCCACTTTGTCCCAGCTGCTTGTATGAGAACGTGGCCAGATGTGAGAGCTGAGCTGAGCTGTGTTGTGACACAGTGCTCAGATCAGATGAACAGATGTAAATAGGCAGGCAGTCACTACCTCCCCTTCACACACAAGTTCAGCACTGCCAGACCTTAGAGAACACTGCTTTTCTCTCATGGTCCTAATGCCCTCTCTGTTAATAATTTTTATTGTCAGCACATCTAACATGTTATAACGGAAATGCTAACAATTCAACAACAGAAACGATTAAATGCCTTTAAAGAAAATCCAATATTTTTTCTCCTTAGCAGTGAAGCTTGGAAAATATGACACATCACTTCGAATTCTCCAAAGTTAAATAAATGTATCCAAGATAATAAAATGAATGGTTAAAAAGGCAAGCTTTTAAAACTTTGTTTTCTAAGTTAAAAAACGGTTATGCGTTTTTGTAGCTGATCTTATGCGTTACACATTGATTGTTAAGAATACAAATGTTATATAACAGATGCTTACAAGATGTAAGCCATAAGACGATATTTACATGGGTCACAACTTCTGACTTTTTAACTATCATAGAACTATAAATACCATGAGCCTCTGCAACACTTTGGCTACCTAATGATAGGTTACACACGATTCAAGAACCTGTTCTACTCCTTGTCAATAAAAAAAAAAAAAAAAAAAAAGACTTTTTTTTACTTCTTTACGTTACAGTGTTTTTAAACAGTATTGACTTTGGTACTATTACTTCTTTGAAAGTGCCATTTCCTCATCCTTCTCCTGAGTAATACTTAATTCAGTCAACTTTAGACGTTATAAGGGGAGGGCCTATAGGGGCGTTAACTCAGAAAGCAGTCTTGAAAAGCCCCAGATCTAACTTTGCCACTTGTTCATTGTTAGCCCACAGTGTAAAATTGAGAGAGAAATAACACCCCTGATTACATTGTTGACAGTGCTACTTCAATGTATGATATTTGGAGTTAGTTATACAGCTCAGTGTGGAGGTATTGATGTGTTTGCAGGATTTTGATGCTGTGGGTGCAGGTTTAATGCTGCAAGTTTGCTGTTAATAAAGGGAGAGACTGACATTTCACTGGATGAGATCAAGGCACCATCTTCAGTACAAGGCTTTTTGTCTACCCAGATGAAGATGCATTTTGTCACCCCCTTCACATTGCTTATACTTTCCCCTCTCCTAATTGTGCCGCTCTCGCACAGATATTATGGCGACGTGTGCGGTAGGGAAATTAGCCTTATGGGACAAGCCATTTTTTGCACATTATTTTTTTGTGCTATTTAAACAAAAATAATCACAGTTCCCTCACCACGGTCATCCATCCCCCAGCACATTACACGTGGGCAGAGTCATTGCAGGTCAGTCCACCCTTGGGTTACTGCAATGGGTGCCAGAGCAATAAAGCATGCAGTGGGGTTAATACTTCAGGTGTGGGGTTAATACAGCAGGTGTAGATTTCAAGAATATAGATTTTTATAATACTCTGAATTAAGTCTAACATTTGGTGTAGTACACTGAACATGTTAGGGTTTATGGTGAGACAAAGGACCCAGTATAATATAGGGTTTATGGAGGGGTTTAAGTCACTATACATGGGAGGGCCAGAAAAATCTACTTATAGTGGGTGGAGTCTAGTGCTTCATTTTTTACTTCTTGGAGTGGCATGATAATATTTGGGTGATTCAGTGTTCTACACCAAAGCCTTGCACATTTTATATGATATCCCTGCTTTTCCCTCGCAGAGACCTCTCTGCAGATACCTTTCTCAAACCATACTGGTACAGCTGTCAAATCACCCATGGCCCATGATTCTACATCCTTCCTACTGGTTGTAGCTTTGCTACCACCTAGGCTACGTGCCTTGAATACCTCTAGCCATTATGGCATGACACTCTTGCAAGTTGTGCCCTTTTCTGGAGACTGGGGTTCACATCATGATCTTAGGTACAAGCTATTCCGGCTTCTCCCTCTTAGGCCCCACTGCCTGCCCAGGTTTACACCTCATCCTCAGAGGATGGAGATGATGAAATGGGCCCCCCAGAGGCTGAAGATAGCACTTATTGCAAGCACTGAGATTGAGCCCCTCACGAACACTGTCCAAACCTCTGATAACCATCTTTTAGATAAGTTTGCAAAAAATTCAAGCTGTATGTAATGTGTGTGAGCTGGCTGTGATGTGATGTACGTGATGTGTGTGCTGGCTATGTGTGATGTGTGTGTGTTCTGGCTGTATGTGATGTGTGTGGTGGCTGTATATAATGTGTGTGGTCATGCTCTGTGTTGCCCCCTCTTGCATGGCTGTCTTCAAGGAAGGGTGCAATGACCCCAGGGCAGGATTCATACTCTCTGGTGGTCTAGCAAGGATTAGCTCTGCTTGGTGGTCTAACAGTGGTCCTGAGTCCCGGATGGTCCAGTGGGGGAGTGTGAGATTTGCACCATGGGTGGTTGCACAGCTCAGTAATCGCTCGCTCACAGTTCAGCACTCAGTGAGTCAGAGTCAGAGTGCAAGCAGGGAACATTTGGCAGCTGCGTTTTGAGTCACTAAAGAGTAACGAATCTCAAAGAATCCATTACTGAGGTCTACACCTGCTGAAGGTTCAAACCCTTACCAAGGTTGTATGGGGGGGCTGAGTGCGTCTATGTATCTAGCATTATGTACCCGTGTATGTGTCTGAGAATGTGTGTGCATTTCTGATTGAGTGTGTCTGTCTCTCTCTGGCATTGTGTACCTGTTTATGTACCTGAGCATCCTTGTTTGTGAATATTTGTCTCTGTGTCTGGGAGCATATGAGTGTAGGGTAGTTGCTTGGGCGGTGTTGTTTGTAAGGGGAGCTGCTTGTGCAGGGGCGGACTGACAGGTCAGGCAGATCAATCATGGACCAAGGACCCGAGTCAGTCAGGGGGCCTGGCAGCAGAAGGAAGTTATGCAAGAAAATGCTGTAAGAAGGTTGCAGGGGGCCCATAATAACTCTAAGGGCCCCTGCAACCCATCACTCTGTAAATAACCCCCCCTCCCATCCAGTGTGATACCTGGCAGCATACCTTGCTTTCACTGCCAGGTCTCCTCTCTCTGTCTCCCTGCTCCTTGTGAGGATGGGAGGTGGGGCAGAAAGTGACATCACACCCCCTGCTTCCCTCTCACACGGAGCACACTTACAGCTGGAGGAATGGTGAGGAGCCTGTCTGCCCCACTGCTGCTTGAGGGAGAAAACACACACACACTGTCCCCCCACACACATACACTGCCCACCCATACACACACTGCCCCCCACACACATACACTGCCCACCCATACACACACACAGCGTTGAGTAATGCTTTCCTATGGGCGGTTTGAATGTGTGCGCGGCTCTTGCTGTGCATGCGCATTCGAATCTGACGTCAGCAGAGAGTTCCCCAGCGCCGAGGGAGCACGCCGCAGGAGAAAGGTAAGTGGCTGAAGGGGTTTTAACTCCTTCAGTCCAGCAGGAAGGGGGACCTGAGGGTGGGAGGGACCTAATGACCCTATAGTGCCAGGAAAACGAGTTTGTTTTCCTGGTACTGTTTTCCAGGGCCCTGTGTTTGAAGGGCCCCGGATCTAATTTTGTCCGGGGGCCCAGAAGGCTCTCAGTCTGTCCCTGTGCTTGTGGTTTTTGTGTTGTGTTTATGGTCAGGTTGTGTATCCTGCGTGGGACGGAGTGGCTGCAGACCTTACAGTCCTGTGTTCTATGACCCCCTTTACAGAACGCCAGATCTTTAAGGAACCACAGACCACCACAGGGAGGCCATTTTTAAAGGTCCGAGCAGGGAGATCCTTTGATCTCCCTGCTGGCTCAAGGAGGACCTGGTCAGAGCTGGAGCTCAATCTGACTCTGATGTGACACCTCTCTTCAAGTGGTGCCTCAGGCATGTGTCATGCCTGCCATGCCCTAGGTACACCACTGGGGCCACTCAGGAATTCTATGTCTGGGCATACAAAACAGTATTGTAATGTATTATAAAATATATTTTTCAATGGGAAACTCTTGGCACCATAATCATTTTAACTTATTGAAATGATTATAGAGCCAGGGTAACATCCTTGCATCCTTTTGTTTAATTTGTCAAACTGACATCATATGGCATTAAAGTGGAGCTTGGAGCTCCATCTTAAATCTATGTCAATCATAGAGCCCGGAATTTGGAAGCTGGTATGCCACCACTGACATAGGTGGACTTGCAGGTACTGCTCTCCTGTCCCTGTCTCTGTGAGCTGGTGTTTGGTGAAGCCTCCTGAGAGATGTAATCCCAGGCTATATGATTGACATAGCTTTAAAATGTTGCTCTGAACCTTAGACATTGACCATAGAGCACTGATTCAAAAAAATATTTTCATGTACTTCCTGAGAAGGAATCAGTCTCTAACAGTGGGGGGATGGAGCACTTGAACACGGGTCTCTATGGAGAGTCCATTAAAACCTTTATAGTAAACTGTAGTCTGTGATGTGTACCCCATGACTCCTTTCCTGCAACTTTCCACCCCATGACTCCTTTCCTGCAACTGTCAAAAATGACCTACCAAGCACTCAATAAACCCTTCTCTAACAAACTATTTAATTCCCCTACTTTAACCCTTTGTGTCACCACACCCCACTCCCTCTAGCATGTAAGCTCATCGAGCAGGGCCCTCAACCCCCTCTGTTCCTGTATGTCCAGTGGTCTGATCTCAATTATGTGTCTGTTAGTCCACCCATTGTACAGCTCTACGGAATTTGTTGGTGCTATATAAATAATATAATAATAATAATAATAATAGTAGTTATATACATTGGTAATATCAAGATACAGCATGGTTTTGTGTTTTTTAATTGGCCATCTTTCCTGTCTATGGGTGCATAGTATCATTTACCGATTGTGAGGTCAAGATGTCCACATCATCGAAGGGCAGGATGCCAAGATTTATAGATTCATCAACAATGTTCCCAGTACAAACTATAGATTTTAACACCTCAGTTCTAAGCAACGAATGATTAAATATATAATTTGAAGTATTTTATCGAAGTAAAGTGAGTATTACTAATTACTTATGCTTGAAATGTACAGCAGTT